AGAAAACAAAAGGGGCAAGGAATCTTGTAATATGGAATGTCATGATCTTGGGTCACATTCAAAATCATCAACATGAGGAGGCTTTAGAATTATATGTACCAATGTATAGATTGTCAATTGACCGTACAAGATCAACATTCTCTACCATAGGATATATATATATATATATATATATATATATAAATGAAGAAAAGAAGAAGATGGAGAACGAAGAAGATAGAGATGAAGAACAAGAAAGAAAGACGTGCATTTGGTTAATAAGCTAAATTCAAGGAGAAATTGTATCTCCCAAAGAATAAATAATCCTAAAAGTATGTGCAATAATAAAATCCACATTAAATAGGAATTTGAGTCAAGGAAGGAAAAAAAAATGAAGGTTCGACATTTACATTCAAAATGTAATTATTTGTTTAATTGTACATGATCAAATCTAATCATTAATGGCATATAAATTCTCATCTTACTCATTTTAGACAATAGGGATATAATAGGAAGAAAAAATTTAAATAGAAATCAGTTAGATACAAAAGTTTGAATCAACATGTCAAAAATGGAATGTAATCTACGTGGCAAACTAGTCAAATGACTTGTATCAACAAACAATAATTCGAGGACTAGACCCAACTATTGATTGGATTTTTGGACTTCTACCAACTTTTCTATTTTTTTTTCTTCTTACCTTTATTGTAATAAACTTAAGGCAAGAAGAATTAATATCTTTATTGCCTTTTCTAAATCCAGCCGGCTGTAGCTTTATTTTACTTACCTTTTTTTTTCTTTTCTAAATTAATATATTAACACATGGACTTATCTATATATATATCTATATATATATATATATATATATAAAGCAAATGCAGAGAATGGTGAAACATTCAAAATACCAGAAAATGTCATTGGTTAATTCAAACATTAATAATTGAAATTATTAATTAAATAAGGATAATATGGTAAATTCATATTTTTATATTTAAAAAAATTAATAAATAAAAAAACAAAATCAGATAATAACTACTCATGTTCTCTTTTCTTAATACTAAAAAAATAAAATAATAATAAAAAATAAAATAAAAAAACCCAATTGGCACATGCGTGAGCATATGCAAAGGAGCTAGTATATATAGATATTGTATAGTAAAACCCTAATTTCTACCCTTACCAGATAATCTCCATCAATTTCAAAAATTCTCTTCATCTTCCAACTGCAAGTAAGCCATTTTATTTTTCTCTCTAATTCCTCGCAACTGTAATTTGAGGTTTCGTATAATTTGTTTTTCTTCAATATATTAGTTATTTTATTCGTTTATGTGATATAGTAGAAATTTGACGTACATGCATCATACTTGTAACTTAGAAATATTAATGATGTTGTTTTATAGATATGAATCGAAAAGACCCTATGTGGAAGTATGCAAAAGAAATAGAGGAGAAAAAAACTTGAGATGCACATTTTGTGATCAAAGATGCAGTGGAGAAATTTCTAGACTTAAGCATCATTTGGGTCAAACTCATCATGGTATGCAACCATGTAAAAAAGTTCCTGAGCATGTGAAAAAGAGTGTGCCGTAACTTTGAAAATTTTTCAGCTTGATAAAAAGAAAGAAAAATGAAATGCGTAGAGAGATTGGGGATGGCACACTAGAAATGTTGCAGTTGATGAGGCTCTTAGAGTACAACCTAAATCAAAAGGACCAACGGATGGATTTGTCACTTAAAAGCTCCGCAAAAGTACATTAAACAAACAAGAAGAAAGAAAGGAAGTTTGTCGAAAGATTGGTCGTTTTTTCTTCTCTAGAGCACTCCCATTTAATATTGTAAATGATCCATTTTGGCTACCTACGGTAGAAAGGATTGCCGCATATGCTGTAGGATTTAAGTCTCCCTCAATGCATGGGCTGAGGACTTGGATCCTTAAGGAAGAAGTTGGATGCATCACGTAGGGGAATATTGTTAGACGACGACACTGAAGCTAAACTCGCCTACTTGAAAGCGAAAGCGTCAATGGATCTTGATATATATATATATATATATATATATATTTATAAGTTCATTGTAGATGAGGATAATAGGCTTGCTAACTTGTTTTGGAGAGACTCTACTTCACTTTTGGATTATGTTGCCTCTTGAGACGTCCTCATGTTTGGGTTGATCCGGTATCATGTGGTTGCATAATAAAACGCACACACGGATTGCCATGTGCACATGAGATGCAAGAGTTCAAACGGACCCCTTTTTTTGCTCGCTCCAGATCTGATTTAATTCGGCTTTCCACTTGATTGTATTTATTAGAGCCTCGACCTACTGCTACATTGAACAATCCTCTAGAAAATGCACAGTTAGAATTATTTGTGAAGTGGTTTCAAAGTTGTAGTTCTTGGACAAAGAGACATGTTAGTATGAAGTTACAAGAGATTATGAATCCCGCATCTACCACGCTTACACAACCCCAAGTGAATATTAAAACAATAGGTCGTCCAAAGGTTGACACATCTACTCGACGTTTGCCTTCTGCTTTTGAGGTTGTCTTATTTGGTCAAGATAGTGTACACTCGACTGACAATGTTGTTACAAGATTGCCACGTAAGAAGCCAAAGACTATACCCCAAAAGCGATCAGTATGCAATAGTCAGACACAATCATTGCCATATGTGAATCCAAAGAAGCTGCCTTAGGATCTACCTGTAAATAGTTACAATATTAAATTTTTATACTGTTGTTTATATCGTAATTTGGGCATATGTAATTGTAATATGCAGGTCTATAGGCCTAAACCCATTGTAGATGACTCTTGATTAACACTAGAGTTTAACAAGTGGTTTCCTAAACATATGTTGATACATATTATAGGGACACAAGATGTTAAGCGTGATGGTAATTGTGGTTTTAGTGCCATTGGATCATCATGGGGTTTGGTGACAATGCTTGGGGCAAAGTATGCAGACTTGTTGAAGGAGTTGAGGAAAGAATCTGTCATTTACTAGTTAATATTAAATGGGAAGGAACAGGTACAACATATTAAGTTTATGTTGTACTATTTTGAAGACTTCCCACTTCAAGATAGGTGGATGACTATACTAGATATGAGACACCTCATTGCATCTTGTTATAATGTAATCCCCATGACTTGGTCAGTACATCAGTCACTTATATTTTTTCCATGTGAGATTGCTCCATTGGATTCTATCTATCGCCATGAGATCTATTGGATTTATTAACCACAATCACTGGATTAAGGTAAAACAATTAAGATGTTTATGCATATATATATATATATATATATATGTGTGTGTGTGTTTGCTTATTATTCTTTTCACATAACTTGATTTATTTAATTTTATTTATTTATTTTACAGGTTTATTTGGAAGGTCAACACCCTATGCAGTTGATGAGCGTTGGTTGAGATGTACAACCATAACTGCATCAGATTGGCTTACTCCATATCAAGATCATATATGTCAGTTTAGAAATGAAGCTGGTGTAGGGGACCCTAATGATAATGACCCTATATTTATTGAGTAGTTTTGTGAAGCATCATATTGGTGATATTAATTATTATTTTCATTTTCATTATATCATTGGTGACATTAATTTTCATATTGCGTTTAACCCGACTAGATTCTTCCTTGAAGCTATTCCCAATCTAAATTTCTGATAATTCGTTGAAGCTCCTCAAATTTATCTCTTACTCTCAATGTCTGGGTTTTCTATTGTTCAATTCCTCTAAGCCAATTTTTCGATTTCTTCTTAAATTGTTGATGAAATTGAGCATTCATTGTTGTTAATAATCAAGACACGTATGAAATTTTTTAGAATCTTCTGAGGTGTTGGTGCAATCTGGAGTTGGGTTCGAAAAATCCTACATTCAATCAGTTGTCAATTACAAGGCTAAGGAGGGAGGGGCTACGATGGAGACTAGTTTTTTTTTCCAAACCAACCGCTGCGAAGCACCACGACGACCGCCTTGACCTCGTCGACTACCACATTCAGATCTTAATTCCACCCAAAACAATATGATATCGTTCTCGATTATTAAAGAAAAGAAACAACAATCTCATCCATACTTCAAATAATCAATCAGAATTTTGAACTGTGAAGAGCTTTTCTTTTGGACCCAAAAAGCTTTTGTTTCGGTTTCTTAGCAGAAAAAAGGAACATAATTAAAAAAAGAAGAAGAGAGGAACATAATTGACCTTAGAACTGTAACTTGAAAACATCAGTAACGATTGTCTGACGTGTCAAAATTTTACCACGTGTTGAAAAACTACCGGCCCGTAGCACCACCTCATCTGTGCTACGGTAATATTGTATAATCTCTCATACCATTGATAGTTCTTGTTTTGTAACATAAATATAATAATTATGATGACTTTTTGCTCATTTGGCTTTTTCCAAAACATGAGATCATTTGTGCTTAATTTTCCATTTGTCCTTTGTGTTTTTAACGAAAGAGTCAACATTTTTAGTAAAAGCATAAATCCATATGAAAAGTCAAAGATTTATACACACTATTAAAAAAGTCAAGTTGAAAATCAACTATAAAATAATGCTACAAGTATTATGGTGTACTAGGGATATTTTTTGTAGTTCTTTATGGTATACTTAGTTAATTATATTTTAATTAAAATATTAGGGTGTACTTAGATTATAAGGTGCACTCAATTAATTTTAAGATTCGTTTAACAGCACTCTTGAGGAATCCCTAAAAACCAATCCCTTTTTCCCGGGAAACAAAATCTAACATGTTTTGGGGATTAATTGAAATATATATAGATTTATTTTGTTGATGGAGAAATGAAAAAAAAACAAAACAAACAAAACCTAGCGATCCATACATGGCCCAAACAGAAAGCCCATTTCCAAAGTTTACTGAACTGAGAAAGGAAATGGAGACAAATTCCTCGCTCCTCCTCTTCCTCCTCCTTTCTTAGCTCACTCACACTTCCAGTCCACCACCACCACCACCCCCACCAAAACGACACCACACCAACCCAAAACGACAATGCAAGCACAGCCAACCCCCAACATCCCAGTTAGCGAGTTCTACTGGACTCTCCTCCACAAAGCCGACAAAAAATTCTCCAAAATTCGAGAGCTCCCTTATTACCATCGCAACAGGTTCTTCCAATTCCCATCCATTTCTTGCATCAAAATCTAAATTTTCAAAATTTATTTCTTAATTTTAATTTTAATTCATTTATTTTCACAAAATTTTGGTCAGGCACGAGTACGATGCTTACTTCTACAAGGTCTTCAAGGTGTACACGCAGCTATGGAAGTTCCAGCAAGAAAATCGCCAAAAGCTCGTGGAGGCCGGTCTTCGTCGATCGGAGATCGGCGAGATCGCATCGCGAATCGCTCAGCTATACTTGGGCCAGTACATGCGGACCAGCGAGGCCAGCTACCTCTCCGAGGCTTACATATTCTACGAGGCGATTTTGAGCAGAGAATACTTTAAGGAGGGCATGTTTCAGGACCTGGGCTTGGCCAGCAAGCAGCTCAGGTTCATTTCTAGGTTTCTCATGGTCTGCTTGCTTTTGAATCGGCGGGAGATGGTGCAGCAGCTGCTTAATCAGCTCAGAGTCTTGGTTGATGAGTGCAAGAGGACCTTCCAGGTTTGTGCTTTTTCAGTATTTTGTTATTAAGGTTTTTTCTTGAACTACTCGTGAACATTGAATTGCTCTGTCTATTTTTGTTTCGTTTTTAAAATGAAAAATTAAATTTAGTGTGTATTTTCGTGTGTTTATCCCCAGTACTTAATTTCAAACTTGAAAAGACAAGAAATTATCGAAAATCTGTACAAGTATATACAAAAAAGGAAATAGAAAGAAAGAAAAATAAGAATGCAATAAATATATCTCAATATTTATATAAGATTATATATAACTAACTAGGCAATCATTCATAATAACATCATGGATAAAGGAATAGTTTTAAAAAGTTCTGCAGTCATTGAGAATAATGGAAAAACATCAGTTTGGTGTGATTTTATGGATTCCCAAATGGATGTTTTAGCTTTGATTGTAAAATCATAATTTATTTTTTTGATATTTATGGGGTTAACTGCGGTCTATGACTTAGTCATACGGTTTTGTTTCCATGTAATATGTAATGCACAACTCTATACTTACTTTTTCCCGCACAAATTTATGAATGGAAGTTGAAAAGTTTAAGCATTTGTGTTCTTGCAGATAGGTTTTATAGTGACATTTTAATGATCTTGTTTCCAGGAAACTGATTTTAAAGAATGGAAGCTGGTGATTCAGGAAATAGTTAGATTTTTGAAAGCTGACACAGCTTTTATGAATATCAGGCCTTTGAGGTATAGTCTTGTCCTAGACTGTCATCCAGATTCCTTACCACATGTTTCCACATCAGTTGCAAAGAGGTCTTTGAGACTACGAGATGCGATACTGAGCAGCTACCATCATAATGAGGTTAGGTATTGAGGTTTTTCCTTCACTCTTTTTCTCTTGGACAATGAAACAATAATTGTTAAAGTAAATTGCAATCCTTTGTGAACAAGTTGTGGCACTTAATATAAAAAATCTAGTGCGCAAAAGCTCTAGCTAACCACAACAAAACAGCCAATCCTTGTGGACTATGTAGTTCTCTTTTCTTCTTTCTGTTTCTAGATGTAGTTCAGATAGATGATCTTTAAGGGGACCTCTTGTTTTATGTGTTGTAACTATCATCTTTTATTTAGTGAAATTTTTTTTTCTTGAATTAAAAAAAGACAACAAAAAATCCAGATACGAACAGCTTTCCAATCTGCAAAAGGAATAGGTTCTCAGTTACTTGTTGATGTTTCCAATCCACAAAATAGTCAAGGTTCTCAATTACATATTTTTTTTATTCCTTATGAATATAATAACTGGACTACTTTTGTGACATTTTCTGTTTTCTCTATGGTTACATCCAAATCAGGTAAAGTTTTCAGAGCTCACTCTTGACACTTTTAGGATGCTTCAGTGTCTGGAGTGGGAACCTAGTGGCTCATTTTACCAGTCAAGTGGTGCTAAAAATGGTCAGAATGGGGCACCAGCGTCCAGCCGCATTAACTACTCCCAGGATATTGCTGATCCTACCCTGCCACCAAACCCACGAAAAGCTGTCTTATATCGTCCTTCTGTTACCCATTTTCTAGCAGTGAGTATAATGGGTAATGTTAATTTACTGATCAATTGCTCGTTGCTCTTGACTTGTTAGCTTGTAGAACATTTTGGATGTATTGAGATTACAGTAGTATAAATCTATGATGAGGTTGTAACCTTTCTTCCATATACTAGTTATGTTCAATGGCATTGACTACTGAAAGTCTTAAAAGCAGTGCCTTTGTAAAACAACGAGAATCAACTTAAATAGAAAAATCATGGAAAACCCTGTTTACTTGAACTACTAGAATGAATTCAAAGACTAGTGACCTACACAATCATGCTTGTGTTAACATTGTGAGGTTGGAGTTTCTTTTTCTGAAATATATCCTTCTTGAGTTTAATGCAAGTTACATAGAAGTAGAAGCATGTCCTTTTGTTCTTGATTTGAGCAGCTATCATCCTGCTATGCATCTGTGTCACAACAAACTTGTATATGACAACAGAGTTTCTCCTTGATTCTGTTACATCTGCCCCCTCATCCCCTCTATGCAATTAGTTTCGGCCATCTTTTTAGGATTTATGATTGAAACTGAAGTTTCATGCTTCATTCTAGTAAAATAAAATTTTTAAGGTATGATTCTTATTGTACATGGGCCAAATCTTCTATAGGACCCAGATGTGTTTGGATTGTGTCACAGTCGTGTCATGGCCCATAATCCTTTTTCTTTTTGCAGACACTTAAGCAATTCCATCTGACGTACGTTAGAGGCTTATTTAGTGCCTGTCCACGTCTGATGGGCATCAGGTGTGGTAGGAGGCATGTCTCTGCATCATAGTATCTATAGTTAAAGGATCAAGCTAATAATTACTACATATCAATTTGTAAAATAATGAACAATTTATATTTATACTCTGACTTTGAGTAAGCACACCATTGTTTTCAGTAAACACATATGGAATGGGTTTGGATCAAATATAACTCTTACCATCATTTTTTCCCTTTTGCAATAGTTATTTCTCCTTGCATCTGAATAATGATCCTCTTTCTGCAAGATTGCAACAACGATGTATTATTTTTAATTAAGAGCTGCATAGGTGATAACTTTTCAATACTGTTTGCATGACTGGCAGGTTTTGGCCACAGTTTGTGAGGAGCTTCCCCCTGATGGAGTTATCTTGATATATCTGTCAGCTTCAGGTGTGAAAAATTGGTTTTGTATTGTAGCTCAGGGTTTTGTTTTGTTTATGTGTTGTGTAAATCAACATTTCTTTTCATAATTAAAATGGTTCATTTAATAGATATTATGCCTCCAGCAGGTGCTGGAATGTACTCAGATGCGACCTCCCCTTCTACGTTGGCTTATCCATCTGATAGACTAAACCCTTCTCGCGGACAAAGCAAAGGAGATGGCTCAAGCTTTCAAGCGGGTTGTTTACAGTTTGGTACCCATGGAAATGGAGGTAATTTTCAAATAACGAGGACCAAATGATTGCAAACCATCTACTGAAACAAATGAGGAACAAATAATTACGTACCATCCATTGAAGTGATTAAATTTGGTTATATGCATAAGTAAATACTAAAAGTGTTGTCTAAGGGGTCGTCCTGGGTCTAGATTTGCACGATGTCCCTAAAAAGTTGGCCTAGCAAAAGAAAGAAAAAACTCAAAACGTCTGAAATGCCTGCCAAGTGTTTTTTCAGAATTTGTAGTTTGTCGTTCTTTCTTCCCTTTGTGTGAGTTCTTGCAAGATGAGGCTGTAGGGGTGCATCAAGGAGAAGCTAATGATGCACTCTTGATTAGGAGGTGCCTTGGTTCAAATCAAGTGATCTCTAGTACTGGCAGCAATTATAAAATATAAGGTTATATGTTTTCTGAATATATGGTGGTTGAAGGTGTAGGATAGGTTGAGTGGGTTTAAGAAGAGATTGATTTGGTTGAATAAGAAGCAAAATATTTTAACACTTTGTATTGAATTTGTAATTATGTACCCATAGAAAGTCTAGACCTACATTTGTTGTTTCTCACATGTCATGTTTCACTAATGTGTAATTCATCAATGGATTTCCTGGTTATTGTTTATGAAGATATTGAATTGAACAATAGTAATGGCTTGCTCAAACTTGGATCTTGTTTCATTTCCTTGTTTTGCATAACTTCTAAGGATCAACTATTCTGATATTATACGCAATACCTTTTTCAGGAATGAATAGCATTTATCCTAGTGACTTGGTTCCATTTACAAGAAGACCACTTTTTCTAGTCATTGACTCTGACAACAGTGAAGCTTTTGAGGTAAGTATATTAACTCTATTTTGTTATTACACATCCCTTAGTTAGGAATTTCTAGATGTGTGTATGAGGGTTGGACTGGAATCTCAATAATTTTTTGTAACTGTAAAGAAGTTTAGGGATTTAAAATTGAAGATATGCTGTGAGGTTTAAAATATCAAGGGTAGCTGGATAATCTCTTGTTACAACTCAATAGATTTATGGTCCATAGATTAGCTCTAAGTGTTTTAAGCAAATAAGTTCATGTTTAAAGTTTGCAGTGCTCTCGTTCTGCAGCATTTAGTATTATGCCACCAAAACATCTTTCTGCAAAAATATATACACACTTCAGGTGAAGTGTATTGAAAAATGTTATAAAGATCAGTATATTTAATTTTACTTCAGAAATATATAAATATTTCTAGCTCTTCATATCACACTACAATATCTGCTGCAAGTTCCTAACTTTCCCCTTATGTTACATCGCTTAAAATTTTCATATGGCCTCATTGGATGCACTGATCATTCCTAAATTGGCTAATTTCTTAAAGTTCACAAAATGACTGAAGGTTGAGTACTGTCTTTGGTAGTGATTTCAAATTTCCACAAATGTGTGATATTGTTCTCTGAAGAAGCTGTTAATGTATATAGTAATTGGGTAATGTTAGACTTGCATAGTCAGTTATATCTACTCCCCAAAGAATCAGATGACACCTAGATGTATGAACCTGTCACTATTTAATAATCTTAACCTTCCTCTCTCTCTCTCTCTCTCTCTCTCTCTCTCTCTCGCTCCACTGAGCAGAATTATTGGTATGGTAGCTTGATGAGTGAGACCTATGCTCATTTTTCCCCCTTTTTCCCTCTTCTTAAAATTCATTTAAGGATCAGTAGAAATCTCTATTACTCTAAACTATAGAGAATATAATTAATGTTTAAAATGTGCTCAGGCCATAAATGGAGTACAAAAAGGTGAAACACCTGCAATGCTCCTATCTTCTAGTTCTTCATATCACATTGCTGCTATTGGTTCCTCTCGTCAGTCAAGTGGAAGCCTGTTCACTATTTTCCTCACAGCTCCTTTGCAGGCTTTCTGTTTATTGCTCGGTATTTCAGGATCTGACATTGACCTGGTGCGTAAAAAGTTGATGCTTTTTTCTCTTCTTACTTGAAAAATACATTTATTTAGTGTTTCCTAAAAATTTATGGAATGAAAACATATCAGGATACATATAACAAGGCCGAGAAGCTTCTTTCCAGTTCATTTAGTGACTGGGGGTCTACTTTGGTGACATCAGACACTATTGATCCTGTTTGGGCACAGATTTTGAGTGACCCATTCCTAAGGCGACTCCTTTTGCGGTATTATTCTATTTCTTCTTTGCTCTATGTAAAAATATATAATGTGCAGCCCTGCAGAGTCTCTAGTGTTTTCTTCTTCTTCTTTTTATTATTTTATTATTTTATTATTTTATTATTATTATTATTATTATTTTGTTGTAATTTTGTCTACCACTATGAAGCTTTATGGACTGCTCTTACAAACACATCTTTTGGTTCTTTGTCACTGTGAGCATGGAAAATCAAACCTTTATCAGCTCTTTGTATTAATGCTCTCAAATTGGTTAACCTTTTCATCTCTTTGATTATTTTTTCCTAGAGTTCTTATATTTTGGGCGAACGGTTCCTTGTCGTCTTAGTGTTTCTCTCCAGTACTTAAGTTGTACAAATTCTACTCAATTGTATTTCCCTTGTGTGTGTGATAAATGTATCTCTGTATAAATTATGTCTTCTTCCTTCAGGTTCCTATTTTGTCGGGCAGCGCTATCACTCTATGCTCCAACTTTCAATAAGAAGGAATTTATTCCCAAATGTATACCATGTCTTCCAGTGTCTGTCCTGCCAACGACAGCAGCATGTCAAACTGTAATTTTGCAGATAGCGAATTTCTTTGGAGCCACAGGCAAGTTCATCTTTTCAGAGGGACTTGAACTCCCAGAAAATAGACAGGGTGACTCGGAATCAATGTCATCTTGATGAATCATATGGGGCAAAGGACATTAGAGATAGACAAATGAATGGTTTGTGAGTTCCCTGTTGGTGTTTCAGATTCTTGGTGTTTGTATAGGAAATTTCTAAGCCTTCAAGAACGTCCAATATGATGCAAAACCTTTGTAAGAGACAAGTTGGACTTTGGACTTATTATTTTCATTTTTATTAAATGGAAAGAAAAACAAAAATTGATGTCTGTATAATTGGAGAGAGTTCTTCTCCTGGCAATCCGCCTGAGTGACCCGTCCTGGTTGAATCAGGTTGGCTTGGATTTCAGGTTTCCCTCGAGTCATAAGCCTTGCTGCCCAACATCTCATTTAGGTGCAACGTTATTTTGTAAACTATTGTGGATGATTTATACTCATTGCACTCGAATTTTCTTTATTGCAAATCTGAAACACAAACTGTCAAAATATTTATTTTATTTCATTGATACTCAATTAATCATACCATATCTGGAAAAATAATAATCATCATAACATACAAAAAATCAGGGTCCATAATGGCAGTGAATTTCACTCAATGAGGCATATATTTTTTCATGAACATTGGAATTATTTATCAACACTCTGTCTACAAAAAATCATCGATTTTCAGTTTGGTTCTGCTGCATGTGGCGAGGCAATGCTATGACTCGAGCCGGCCTATAATGTAATCGTTTTTTTATTTTAAATATTATACCCTAAATTGGAAAAATTTCAGGCCAGTAATATTAATTTTTGCGTGGTTACTTTGCTTTCATCTTTGTATCAACTCTTTTTATGGGTATTTGTATTGGCCTCTTGTGGCTTGTGGCCTTTGTACCTAATTTATGAATAATTATTGTTTTTCTCTATTGAAAAGTGGAAATGGATCTTGACTTACAGACCAATGGTCTCAGGTTCGAATCTTATGACATATTGATAGTGTTGTATTAAAAATAAAAACAAAAACAAAAACAATGGGACGAGTTATAAAATAGAGATGAGAAATAAAAGTGAGATGAGGAAGATAATTAAAAGAGAGAGAAGAGAAAAGGTTAGAAATGCTGGAATTGGGAAAGGAATGGGAAGATGTCTGATGAAGAGTGAACTCCTAAGTTAGTGAGGTCATATATCTATTTGGAAGGAAGGTATCCGGAGACAGTGACGGATCCAGGATTCTCGGTCCAAGAGGTCATAGGATAGAAGTGTTGAAATTTTTATTAAAAAAAAAAAAAAAAAAAAGCATAAAGATAGAACATTTATTTAATTATCCAAAAATTAGGATATGAATACGCGTATACGAAAATTAAAATAATATATTTATTAATTTTTATAAATTACTATTGTACTAATATATTAATAATGCTACTCTTACCACATTTGTATACCACATCCTTATACCATCTTATGTGGCAGTTGAGGTGGACAACCACATCAATTAAAATTAGAGTAATGCTACACTTACCATATTTTTATCTCATATTTCTATACCACATGATGTGGCATGTCCATATTATATATCACATCAATTAAATCAATGAAGTGTATGTTAATTAAGACAATTAGAAAAACAAATACTGGAATAGATCACATAAATAATTTTAATAATAATGCTACTCTTACCACATTTGTATACCACATCCTTATATCATCTTATGTGGCAGCTGAGGTGGACAACCACATCAATTAAAATTATTTATGTGATCTATTCAAGTATTTGTTTTTCTAATTGTCTTAATTAAAATACACTTCATTGATTTAATTGATGTGATATATAATATGGACATGCCACATCATATGGTATAGAAATATGGGATAAAAATGTGGTAAGTGTAGCACTACTCTAGTTAAATATATCACTGTGTATAGACTAAAAGATTTTATTAAAAAACATTAGGGCCAAACTTTTTAAAAAGACCTACACGTTATTAATAAAAATTTGGGCCAGACTTATACATGGCCCAGACTTAAAAAAAAATCTACAACTAGTGAAACGGTGAGTTTCAACTAAAATGAGGCATAAGCAAATCACCAACGTCATCTTCACGACATCATCTTCTTCGCTGCCTCTGCAACCCAAAAAAAATTTACAAATTTATAAATAAACCAAATCCTAGACATGTATTTATAAAAAAACCCAAACACTATTTAAACATAGAAACACACCCAAAATCAACCCCAAAGTCAACTTTTTGGGTGTGTTTATAAATGAGTTTTGAGTGTGTGTAATGATGAGTTTTGGGTGTGTTTATATGTTTAAATAGTGCTTGGGTTTTTTTATAATTTCAACCCCCATTTTGGGTGTTTTAGTAAAACTCCCTAAATAAATAGAGAGAGAGAGACCTCAAGACCAAGGCCTTTGATGTGGGAATGAGTGGCTATGCGGTTCTTCTTGGTAGTGGACTGAACCTCTTCTATCCTCACCTTGTCCATAAGTTGCAGTGGAGCTGTGAGGCCTCTCTCTCTTTCTCACTTCTCTTTGATGAAGCTGCTTTGGTTTCTCCGAAAAGAAGCGATCAGGCGAAAGGGTTATGTCGCTGTGCGTCAGGGCAAAAAGGCCATTGTACTTTTCATTAGTCAACATAATTAAAAGGGCAACCAGTTAAATAGGAGCACAAACGTCATTTCATTATGGGAAATTCTATATGAACCCCATAAATTACTCTTTACACCCCATAATTTTTTACACCCCACTAAATTTTAATAAAATTTCAAATTACTCATTAAACCCCTTTTTTTTTCTTCCCTAAATTGCCCTCATAAACCCCATTCCCTAACCACCCACCGAAAACCCCCTTCCCTTTCAGCCACACCCCATCTGAAATCAAACCCCACCCTATCTGATATCCAGCCCCACCCCACCAAAAATTCTCTCCTCTTGCAGACACACCCCATCGCACACCCCATCCCATTTACACCAACCTCCATCGCAGAACCATCGAAGAAGCCCTTTGCCATCGCCTCCAGCAAACCCTAACCATCTTTGAAACAGAACCATCACACCCATCTCCATCTCTGCAAACCCGAAAGCCATTGAAGGTCAAGTTCTCACAAATCCTTATTCAAGGTTTGATTTCAAATTTGATTTATATATTTACGTTTCTAAGTGTTGATTAAGCCTACGTTTGATTTCACTTTTGAAAAGCCAAAGTCTGATATTGATTTTGATTTCGATTTCAAGGTTCTGGGTAGTTCGAACATGGTTTTCCGAAAATGGATTCTAGTTTCGGTGGATTGCCACCGAAATGATTACATTGCTTCAGTGGTAGTTCACCGAATTGAACATGTACTTTCGGTGGGTTCCCACCGAAATTGTTACTTTGTTTCGGTGGTAGTCCACCAAATCTGTTTCCATTTTTCAGGGGACTCCCACCGAATTTATTTCGATTTTTCAGTGGTACTCCACCGAATATGTATTCTTTTTTTCAATGATTGTCCACCGAATTTATTTCCGTTTTTCAGTGATTATGTACCGAATACGTTACTGAGTGTGTACTTAATATTGTTTATTTTTAGATATGAAGAGGATTCGCAGGGGTACTACTGAAGCTTCATCATCCTGACCTAATAGACAGCGTCCCACGGCCTTAGCGAGAAGACAGAGAGCGGCTCCCCAAGATCACATTGAGGATAACTCTTGATCAGTGACAATAACACCAGGAAGACAATTATCATCCAACAAACTCCTCAATGCAGTCAATGCCCATGTGTAATTGTCTTCCTTCTCGGCATTCATTTACACATATGCAACAGAGAATGTCATATTAGTAGATGTCACCCCCACAATTTGTAATAGTGGGAAATGATACCTATTAGTCTTATAGGTGCAATCCATGATAAGTACATGTGGAAATGCACGCACAATATCAATATTAGTGGGGTGTGTCCAAAACAGGTCAGTTACAATATCACCAGATGTCCTATGCCACTCAATATAATTGTGTTCGGATAACTTAATAAGCAATTGTTTCATTTGGGTTCTCCCAGCAAATTCTTTGGTTATATTTCGGATCCTAGCATTGTATATTGTCTTCATAGTTGAAACATTCATTGCATCTCTATCTTTAATGGTGACCAAAATATCTCTGGGTTTTACCAAACTCTTAGATATGTCCACCAACAAGGCATTCTCCTCTTCAGTAAGTTGCCTCACAAATGAATGACCTTGAAGATACTCTGAAATAGGATGGTTGTGTACTCCACAAACCACCTCCAACTTCCAATCATCCCCATCACCAATATTGACACCTTTTAACAAGAATGGGCATCCACATTTCTTGGTACCAGTGTCCCTAGCACATTTTTTCATATCACTATTTGCATCCGACCTTATATCAGTTGTCTCACTATACTTGCAAGACTTATAGTTACCGTTCCTCTCACAAGCAAGTATTACACGAGGTCTCCTCTTGCCATCACCTCCATAATTAGACCTTTTAATTACAATGACAATATTATTCAATTTTCCTTGTTCACGAGCCCATCGAAGTAATGCATCTCTATTATTGAATATCTACACATAAAACTCATATTATTTCAATATAAAATTTGAAACATTAATGCCACGTTAATGATACTAAAAAGAATTTCAGATAAATAATTACCGAATAAGTTGTGAATTGATCACTATAGTCCATTACACATTCTATTCCCACATTGTTGCCTTCAGTAGGGGCGTCACCTTGTTTTTGTTCCTTCAATGGAAGTAAGATCAAAATAGCTTGGATTAAATTTGTGGTCGGCAATAAGTTACTGAAAAAATAAATAAATTTCGGTTGGATGCCACTGAAACGCAGGTAATATTTCGGTAGTATACCACTGAACTACGTTCCATCTGACGGTGGATCTCCACCGAATATTACGTTGCTGACCGGTCGAACCCTATCGAAAATGGTGCAACGTTTCGGTGGCATCCCACCGAATTTACCTGTCGCGTTCGGTACTGATGTGCTGAACGCAACCAGCGACTGTTACGAAATACTAAACTTGAAAAACGCCAAAAAATAAACTCGTACCTCATTCGAAACCTCTCTAACTTCAATCTCACCCTTCATGAATAAATACAAGATATTTTTGCACCAGTATAAACGTATAAATCTAGGGTTTAAGGTTTATGAACATGATAGTTTGAGAAAAAAAACTCAAACTAGGGTTGCAGGAACATATGTGGGGTGTAGTGAGCAATTTTAATTTTAATTTAAAATTTTTTTGTCCTTAACGGTAATTGTGTACAAGGGTAAAATAGGTTATTTATATTTTAAATTAGTATGTGGTGTAAAGAGCAAATAATGAGGTGCCAATAAAATCACCCTTTCATTATTTCCAATGAACAGTTTAAGAACAGTAACTCGGATTCAGTTTTAGTATATAAAATATAATTTCTTCAGAATCTCAGATTTTCCAATTTGTTTATGCCCGCTTTACATGTTGATAGTATATGATACCGTGATATTTCAGGCATTGCATGTGGAATTTATTAGCGTAATTGATTATGTATTTCTTTTTATCAGTTAGGTTTCAGTATCAAGATCATCTCAACTCTAAGCTCTTAGCATTGAAATGGGGATTGATGGTCGAGGTTTGGAATCTGTTGATACATCAAACAGTGTAATATTCATAGGTAAGAAGAAATCATCCAAAAAGAAAGACAATTGTAATATTTTTACTGCATTGAGTGAAGAAGCTGGGGTTGGGAGTGACGTTATGGATGTAGTTGAACACGAAAAATCAAATACCGGAAATGGTAAAATTGAAGCTCTTGATTCTGAAGTTATGAAGAGTAAAGAGGTTCCAGAAACTTCAAAAAGTAGGAAAAAGAAGACTGGAAGGACTGCTCAAGAAGAAGATGATTTGGATAAGATTCTTTCTGAGCTAGGTGAGGGGTGTTCGACATCGAAACCTGCTGCTCTGCCTAAGCAAGAGGAGAAAGTCGAGGTTGAACCTGATCTAGTTGCCTCAGTCGATGGTCCGGCTGAGAAGGATGGTGAAGAAGAAGTTCCTCCTACTGTGCTGTCTGCCGCAGCAAAGAAGAAGAAAAAGAAGAAGGAGAAGGAAAAGGAGAAAAAGGCAGCAGCTGCAGGGGATGCTACTTCTTCTGTGGATGTTAACGATGAAAACCATGAAGAAACAGAAATTGAAAGGACAGAACCCAAGACAAATCAGGTGAAAGGTAAAGCAGCAGAAAAGAAAGTGCCAAAGCATGTTAGAGAGATGCAAGAGGCCCTTGCTAGGCGAAATGAACAGGAAGATAGAAGAAGAAGGGAAGAAGAGGAGAGACAGAGGAGAGAAGAAGAGGAGCGGCTTAGGCTGGAAGAACTTGAGAGGCAAAGGGAGGATGTCAGACGTAGGAAAAGGGAAAGAGAAAGGGAGAAACTACTAAAAAAGAGACTGGAAGGCAAGCCTATAACTGCAAAGGAAAAAGAAGAAGCCTGTCAGCTGGAGGCAATGAGAAACCAGATACTTGCTAATGCAGCAGAGAGTTTGCCTCTCCCTACCACAGACCATGAGAAACCCGGCTAATAGACCCTTGATTCAGAAAAAGAAGTCAAAACCAGCAGCCATCGCTCCAAATGGTGTGGCTCCTGCAAAGGCAGTGGAAAACATAGAAGAAGAAGAAGAAGAAAACCAGCAACACACTGTACCCAGGCTGGATTCTGTGGAATGTGACAAGGTTGAAGAGGTGGAATCAACATATATAGAGGAAAAATCTGACATTGCTGAATCTGTTAAAAAGAATGGAATGGAAGGAGAAGCAGAAGAAGAAAATGATGATGTTGATGAATGGGATGCAAAGAGCTGGGATGATTCTGCTGTTAATCTTTCTCTTAAACATGGATTTTCTGATGAAGAGATTGACTCTAAGCCTGAACCTGTTGTGAAAAAAACACATAAAGAGTGCAGGTGCCAAGCCAACAGTTTCTGCAGAGAAAAATGTTCCTACTCAATCAATAAAATCTCAGAATGTTGAGAATAAGAAAAAAAGTGGAAGGAAGATGTTGTTGAAAAAGAAACAGCAACTTCAGATGCTGCCCCAAAAGAGAGTGAGGATAACCTTCGTTCACCTATTTGCTGCATTATGGGTCATGTGGATACCGGTAAAACTAAGCTATTAGATTGTATACGAGGCACAAATGTTCAGGAAGGTGAGGCTGGAGGTATTACTCAACAAATTGGTGCAACATATTTTCCTGCTGAGAACATCCGTGAGAGAACTAAGGAACTGAGAGCTGATGTGAAGCTGAAGGTCCCAGGTTTATTGGTCATTGATACACCTGGTCATGAATCATTCACTAATTTGCAGTCACGGGGTTCAGGTTTATGTGATATTGCAGTTTTGGTTGTTGACATTATGCATGGCTTAGAGCCTCAAACAATAGAGTCACTCAATCTTTTGAAAATGAGGAATACAAAGTTCATTGTTGCATTGAATAAGGTGAGGTTTATTATGGTCAAATCCACCCTCTGGTTCACTACTAGTTTCTCCTCATCAATGTTTAATTTTATTTTCTTGAATATTCAACTTTTAGGTGGACAGACTATACGGGTGGAAAACCTGTCGTAACGCACCGATTGAGAAGGCAATGAAGCAGCAATCAAAGGATGTAAAAATACAGTTCGAAACGCAGCTCGTACAGGTCTTGTGCATTACAACCTTGTCTTTCTGTTTCACTTTATTAAATTTGGCTTTCCTGGTTAAACCTTCAATGTTTGCATGGGTTGACAGATTATCACTCAATTCAAGGAGCAGGGATTAAATACTGAACTGAATAATATGGATAAAAAAATGAGGGAAACGTACAGAATTGTACCTACAAGTGCCATTAGGTATGTCTTATGAGCTCTAGCCTTATCTTGTTTTTATGGTCTCTGCTGTGAAGGTTATTTCAGTGGTTATCTTTCTGCTGTGTCTTGATAATTTGGTTTGTGAATATTCCAGCGGTGAAGGGATTCCAGATTTGTTATTAGTGTTGGCTAAGTTGACAGAGAAAACTATGGTTGAGAATCTTACTTACAGAAATGAAGTGCAGGTTTGATTCCTTTTCACCTTGTTTCCAGTTATGTAAAAGGGTTTAACAGTTGAGAAATTTGAGTGATCTGATTGGAGGCTGATCTTGTGCACCAGTGTACTGTGTTGGAGGTTAAGGTTATTGAAGGCCTTGGGACAACAATTGATGTTGTACTGGTTAATGGCGTGCTTCACGAAGGAGATCAAATTGTTGTTTGCGGTATACAGGCAAGCATCTAAAATCTTTATCAAAGACATTTTACTGAAGTGCTACTTTTACAGTTTTTGCAAACTTTTTTCCGTTATTTGTTTTACAAATGCAAATGCTTTAGTATTGTCAACATGTTCAGAATTTTAGAGATGATTATCATGTTAAATACCATTTTCGGTCTTTTTAGGGACCTATTGTTACTTCAATTCGAGCTTTATTGACACCACATCCGATGAACGAACTTCGTGTGAAGGTAAGTTTTTCTTCTTTTTCTTTTGACATATTCTTTTTGTTATTGATGTATTTTTAGGCCTTTCTCTTTGATTGAATGCATTTGCATTTTTCCTTAAACATGCATATTGTGTTCTTTTATTTTCTTTTTCTTTTCCAATTTTCGTTTTATAAAAGTTTTTCGGTAATTGTTCTTGATAGACCAGGAGGTTAGCACAAAATTGTTCCAGTAGCTATCCTGTGTGGTTTGGATTAAAGCTTACTTAATTTTTTTTTCAGTTCAGATACAATAGGAAACATTTTGGACCATACAATTAACCTAGTTTTATAAAATATTCTATTTCCTTTCATGGATTAAATTCAATCCAGTGGGATCTTTCATTCACATTTTTTTCCCCTCAACAACGATCCATGTGACATTTCTAACTTTATAATAAAATAGGTTCCAGACTCGAGATTCTTTTCCTGTTTAAGTAATGTTGAAGTGCATCAGGGGTTTTTTTTTGGATGTTAACTATTTGAACATCCTTTTTGCTGAATATATCTTTTGATTTTTTTTTCTCTGTTATCAACTGGATTATTCCAAAAGTTAAATTGGTTTCTCATATGAACCTCTAATGTCTGAGACAACGCACTGTCCATCGCATCAGATGATGATGGTATGGTTCTTTGTTTCAGGGAACGTATCAGAATCATCGTGCAATCAAGGGCGCACAGGGTATCAAAATCACAGCACCGGTAATTCCTGGTTGAAGTCAAGGCCAATCCACTTCTACTTATTTATAAGGTATTTGCCAGTGGACTCCTGTTGTGTGAGATTTACTTGATGTTTCATTTTTCACGCAGGGTCTTGAGCATGCTATTGCTGGCGCTGCTCTATATGTGGTAGGGCCTCATGATGATTTGGAAGAGGTCAAGGAAACAGCTATGGGAGACATGAAGTCAGTCTTAAGCAGGATTGACAAGAGTGGTGAGGGAGTTTGCGTACAAGCATATACTCTAGGCTCCTTGGAAGCATTGCTAGAGTTTCTGAAGACCCCAGAAGTTAATATTCCTGTTAGCGGTATTAGTATAGGCACTGTACATAAAAAGGATGTCATGAAGGCCAGTGTAATGCTTGAAAAGAAGAAAGAGTTTGCCACCATTTTGGCATTTGATGTCAAAGTGACACCAGAGGCCTGGAAACTTGCAGATGATTTGGGTGTGAAGATTTTTATGGCTGATATCATCTATCACTTATTTGATCAATTTAAGGGCTATATCAACAATCTCAAGGAGGAAAAGAAGAAGGAATCTTCTGATGAAGCTGTCTTTCCTTCTGTGATCAAGATTTTACCAAACTCTGTTTTCAACAAGAAGGATCCAATTCTCTTGGGGGTTGATGTTCTCGAAGGCATTTTAAAGGTACCATTATATACACTGGATTTTTTTTACTTCGACACACCCTGCTTCTCTTAAAAAGGAAAAAAACGTTTAACGAGAACCCAAGCCACTTGGTTTTTGAAAGCCTTTAGAAGCTCCTGCATCACTTTGGATAAACTAGTGGAGTTTGTCAAGAAGATTTATGGACTCTCATGATTTATTTAAGAAACTGGGGTCTAGATAATGCTCAGGGGGCTTCGCAGGAGTTTTCTGAAAGGGTTATATTATAAGATTAACTAAATGTTTGTCAATTATATCCAGCTATCTTTATATTTTATGCTCTCTGTGCAGGTTGGAACTCCAATTTGTATTCCTCAAAGAGATTTTATTACTATCGGGCGCATTGCATCCATAAAAAATAACCACAGACCTGTTGATATAGCAAAAAAGGGGATGAAGGTATCCATTAAGGTATGATAAATTTTGACACGCATATATCACACTCATGTTGTCAATATCAGTTGGTAGTGCATTTCTGCATCCTTTAATGTTCTTTTTGAAGCTGCTGCTATTCTTGTCATGGGTAAATCTATGGAGTTATCCCAGAAAAATTTATAGGGCTTTATCACTTTATCGATGAAATAGTGGCTCATAGAAATTTAGGCTTTAATGGATCAATGCTCTTTTGTATGACTAATGACATCTTTGTAGGGTTTAGGAGTCCTTTAATGAGAATCTTGGTACTTGGAAACTTTGCATTCCATGTCCATGGCTCATTGATTGGGCTGCAGGTGCAGCTCACTTGAATGGGAAACTCTTGTCTACCTTCCTTGTTATCCTGGATCAAATCCAATTGGGATCTCCCTGATGGAGTATTCTGCACTTCTTCGAGCTAGTTCTTTGCTGCATTTTTGGCCTTCGTTTTTATGATTCTTTATTGGTTTTAGCATTTTGCCTTTCCTCCTCTTTACTATCTGGGTGATCTGGTTCCTGTCTGCTTCTGAATCCCCTTGGTTTTAGTGACTAGCGGTTGCTGTGTTTGCGCTATCTTTTAGACAGGTTTGGCATGTTGTTGGAGTTGGAGCTATGTCCTTGTTTCCAGTTTGTTTCTTCATTTTGCTGTTATTGACTGCTATTAGATGGTGGCCTGATTTACTTGGAGTTTACTCTTTGGTGCTCTTCTGGCCTTGGTTCTTACAATTCTTCCGTACTTAGCATGTTGCCAAAGTGTTAGTTTGCTAGCTGATTGTGGGCTGCAATCTTTTATGTCTGGATTGCCTTATTAGTGTAGTTGTGATCTTGTATTTTGTTTGTTTTCTGGTGTGGTTTTTTTCCTGTCTTATGCTGATATTGAAGTCCACTTGAACTTTTGTTGTATTATTTGGGCTTTGCTCTACTCTCCATTCGGTCAATTTATTCTTTTCTTAACCAAAAAGAAAAAACCATTGCACTTATTGTAGTGTGCTTATTCAAGTCTTTTTGTGTGTGTTCATGCAGATAATTGGGACGAATCCTGATGAGCAGCAAAAGATGTATGGTAGGCATTTTGGAATTGAAGATGAACTTGTCAGCCATATCACAAGGAGGTCGATTGATGCACTGAAAGCGAATTACCGGGTAAGTTTGAATTTTTTTACAGTTAAATCTTGGACAATGTACAACTCAACCATAGCTCTTAATAGTAATTTTAAATATTCAGGATGAACTCTCAAATGACGAGTGGAAGCTGGTTGTAAAATTGAAGAAACTTTTCGAGATACTGTGAGAGAAGCAGCAGCCAGAAAGAATCCAAGGTCACCTTGTGGAAAGATTTGATCCTTAAGCTTTACTGCACCATTCCAATTAGATTTAGGCACTCAAGTTCAGATGTGATCATGTATGGAAAGGGAGAGAAGGTTCCATTTTGTGTTTGCATGAGGAAGTCCTTTTACCGAAGTTACAAACAGACCTCTGATTTTTTATCCTGTTAGGCTAATTTCAATTTTTTTCCATGTGGTTTTCTTTTTAAACTGTAATATTGTTGATCAAAGTGTGCAATTCTGTTAGTATTGTTGACAGAAAATGTATCTTGCTTTTTTGCTATGCCCTCTCTGTGCCTTGGTATTTGTTTCTCTTTCTAGAATGTGCAAGTTCTTGTTACCCGTCAGTGGATTTGTGATTCAATGCTTTGGGTTTTCAACTCTTCCCAAATTTGAAGTTTGTTTCAATTCCTCAGTTTCTATCTACTATTTACTGTTTGGGTTAACTATGTACAACTCCCAAACTAGTGTTCGATTTTTAAATTTAAACTCATGCATTGATTATGGATGATTTACGAATAAGTAAACCCTACACCTTACATTATATGTTATTTATCATTAATTTTCTTTAGTTAAAATCCATGTACGCATAAAAAGGGAATTCACTTGTATCATGTTGGCCGTTGACGCCTCGCGAACATGTTATTTCACTCTTTTCGAACATTTTTGTTTTCATTTTCTTGTTTGTTAATGTGTATATGAAATCTTGTTATTTGTATTTTATTGTTTGTTTGCGTATATGTGATGCGTGAGTGGTGTACATATAATGTGTAAGTAGAAGTGCCGTGATAACCACTTTAATTTTTTCTCTCAAACCCTCAGTCTTTCAACGCAACAAGGGGGGAGGTGGTCGCTACCCCTCCTTCCCTACCCCCAATACCCCTTTCAATTTCCAATTTCCAATTTCCATCTTCCTCTTCATTCCATCTTTGTTATCGCCCATCTTCCTCTTCACTCCATCTCTATCCCCTTGGGCTGTAGCGACTAATCCCAAACATGATTTTTCGTGTCCCCTTCAAAAGATGTGTAGAGCTCTTGCTCGGGTGCTTGCACCACCTCCTTCCATTCTTGGGTTGTTACCACCTCCTTCCTTGCTTAGGATGTTGGTTTCTTTGGCTTTGGGAAGTGTTATCCCAGGTTTGCTCTTGGATTGGCTGTTGCTTCGCTATTGGTGGTTTGGTGGTTTCGTTTTTGTTGGAGTGATTGAGTCTTTGATGGTTAGTTTATGTATTGCCAGGGATTTTCAAATTTTTAGTTTTTGTATTTGTTTTGTGTGTTTGCAATTCTTTCACTCATCATTAGTGCTAGTGGCGATGTCTCGGTCTTCATGGAAGCAGCGGCAACGGTACTTTGATGTTTGGTGGTGTTTCTGCTTTTGATTGGCTCTGGCTTTATCCCAGTTTTGTACTCTGACTTTATGTTAGTTGTGGGTTCTGGGTTTATGCATTTTTTAATTTTATTTCTAGTGGGCTTTTACTGTTGCATTTGTTTGGACTCATTTTTATGAGTTCCACTATCTTGTAATTGGCATTGCCTTTTTATCAATGAAACTAGATTCCAACCATAAAAAATAAAAAATTGTCCGGAGGGAAACAACAATATATATGTATTTTTAATAGCTTAGGTTATTTGTAGTTAGCATCTTTTTTACTTTATGTTTTCAATTTTTATCACAAATCTTTATGTTTTCAAAGGCCCAAATCCTAATTTTGACAATTTATTTTTAAAAATCATCAATAAATTTCAAGGCCCAAAAGGCCCAAAATCCTAAAATTTCTTCTTTTCTCTCATCTCCTTCAGATCCCAAAACCGCACCCATTCTCCTGATCTCTCTGTTTTCTGAATTGCAACCTTCCCCTTTCTTTTCAAGCTTCTGTTATCGAATTGCATTACTGCGTTTAAATCTGTCCCTCTAGGGCAGGAAGATGAACTACCTATTGACGACGCTGACGAAGAAGCAAGAGGTGGATTCTCTCATCAGATCCACCATCGACAAAGTCCTCGTCCTCCGCTTCGGCCGAGCTTCCGATTCCGTCTGCCTCCTCCTCGACGACGTCCTCGCCAAAACGGCGCGAGAGGTCTCAAGGTTCGCAGCAGTTGCGCTCGTGGATATCGATTCTGAGGACATTCAAGTCTACGCCAAATACTTCGACATCACTCTGATTCCATCGACGGTGTTCTTCTTCAATGCCCACCACATGAAGATGGACTCGGGAACAGCCGATCACACCAAATGGGTCGGTGCGTTTCAGCGAAAACAGGACTTCATTGATGTCGTGGAGGCGATTTTTAGAGGAGCTATGAAAGGGAAGCTGATCGTGAGCTGCCCGTTGCCGCCGGAACGAATACCCAAATATCAGTTGCTGTACAAAGATGTGTAGGAGTTGCACAACTCAGAAGTTTTGATCAGGTTCTTGTTTTCTGCAGTTTTTTGTTCATATTGATGCGTATTTGACAAAGATTGCCAATAGAAAAATAAATAAATAAATCTTATTGCCTGTGATCTTTTGGTTGGATGTCAATCTTGGTGATTATGCTTTTCTTCCCAATAGAAAAAAATTAGAGGAGCAATCATGATAACGTTAGCCGTTTGGTCTGTGAGTCAGTTTAGTTAATTTCCAAGAGATGTAATTTGTTAAGAATTTATCTGAGAACAAAAAGCTTGGTCCATACACGCAAGACAGGGAGACATAACTCTTGTATCATTAGATAGAAATATTTGACAAAAGAGGTTTTGCAGAAATCTTGATTACATCTAAGCAATCACCTAACAAAAAAATTTATTTTAAAAAAAAATTATAACTAGAAGAAAAATAATAGACAAAATGTCAAATTATGTAATAATAGCATGTATGTAATGTAAGGGGATCTCTAACTCTCTCACTCGAATGCCCACTGGTTCTCCTCACGAATCTTCTTTTCTTCCTCAGGTGTGAAGTCGTTCTTGATGTTGAACGTCTCACGGATCTCTTCAGGTGTCTTTCCCTTGATCATCTCCGCCACAGTTTGGGCGGTCAAATCCAGCAGGCTCTTGATGTTGAGATAATTTGCAGTCATGATTAGGTGAAACAGAGTGACCTGGTCCAGCTTCACGAACTCAGCGTCCCATTCCTTCAAAATGTCCTTTTTGTTCTCGCCATCGGCGGCCTCTTCTTTGTGCTTTCTGCAGTATTCGATCACCTTCGCTAGGATGTTGCTGGTCACGTTTGGCAGAGGTATCGCGCCATCAGCACAATCGTCCTCCATCATGTGCCTGATGGTCTGCGACTGCATGGCCACAGCCTCCTCCACCTCGAAGATCTCACCGTCGTCACTCTTCAGGGTTATCTTCTTCATCTCAACGGAGGCCATTGTTTTGGTCTTTGTAATATTAACTAAGACTTTGAGTTGAGAACTTGAAAGAGTTTTTCTTTTCTGGCTATGGAAGTTCAAGGGTTGAGTGATTTGAGTTGCAAAGGTTAACAGACTTTGGGGTGATTTTATAGCCTACTCGTAACACCTTGAGCTTTTAGGAATAGGAGATGAATATTTTCTTTTTCTTTTTTCTTGTATTAGGAAACATATTCTCATACTAGGAAAAAGGAAAGTTGGCTGATGGCCCCTGTAACAAATAGGAATAATTTTTTTTTTGGGTCTGACCTGTAACAGATAGGAAAGGGAAAGTTCTTAAAAACTTTTCCTGTAACAAATTGGAAAGGGAAAGGTTTTTTCTTTCCTCTGTATCTTTTGACCCTTATAGCCACAATTCAGAAAAATATGCACAATTCCTGATTGATTTCCTCAATTGAACTGACTTTTTAATTCATCAATTGGGGCGACTTTAAATTCATAACAGAACAAAATCACACTTTAAATACTTGGCTCCATTTCCCCAACTTCAAATTCCATCTGCTTTTCCAAAGACGAATTTTCTCAGCAACCAAATACCCAATTTTTGTTTTGGTATGTTTTTGGTTTAGAAATTTGTACCTCTCTCTTGGTACTCTAAAAAGGAAAACTCAGATGCTAGAAAGTATGTAAAAATAAGAGAGTTTCACTATTATGACTAATATAGGGGTCCAAATTATGAATAATAAAAAACCGACATGAAATGGACTTTAGAAACACACACAAAACACATTTACAACATAACAAAGAGGCTTCGAACTTCTTATAAATTACAAAACTACCATCGATTTCTTAAAACAAGTCCAACCCCAAAAGCTCATTTTTAAAAAAAATCCAAAACACTCAACATAACATCAAAGTAATTTAATAATCATAATTAAATTCAACAGGGTCAGCTGTCCTTTTAGGAATAGGAGATGAATATTTTCTTTTTCTTTTTCTTGTATTAGGAAACATATTCTCATACTAGGAAAAAGGAAAGTTGGCTGATGGTCCCTGTAACAAATAGGAATAATTGTTTTTTTTTCGTCTGACCTGTAACAGATAGGAAAGGGAAAGTTCTTAAAAACTTTTCCTGGAAGGGCAAGAGCCCAAAACGACTTTCCAGCAACAAAGGCTGGCTCGAGCAGGGTGGGGTCCACAAGCCTGGGTTGGCCCGAAGGCGAGGGGAGCCCGAGAGCAAGCCCGAAGGCGCGGCTGACGTCATTGCTGATGCCAGCGTGATGTCAGCATGAGCTTTTAAAATTTTTTTACCGTTGGCGCATGCAACACACACGCCAATGTTAAAAAAAATTCAAACGCACACGTCAGCTTTTCCCCCAACAGCTCTCTGCGACGTGGCGCACTCTGGTCCTTCTGATTTCGTCTTGTCATCCAATCCAACGGCCTGGAATTTTTCAAGGCAAAAAATTATGAAAAAAAATTGTAAATTTTTTTTAAAAAACCCCAAAAAATACTGAATTTTTTTTCTATAAATACCAATAGGCTCTTCAGTTTTAACAACAAATTCTCATACATCTTCTCCTTCTCCAACTATTATTCACTTTCTACTCAATATTTTCTTCACTTTCTACTCTAAATTGTTTTCACTTTCAAGTTTAATTTTTCTCTATCATTATGGCTTTTTCTCAAGAAACCGGAGGGGCATGGAGCATCATGGAAGATGTCTTGTTGTGTGAGTGTTGGATCCAAATTAGTCATGATCCCATATCGGGTAATGAGATGAAATTCAGTCAAATGTGGAAAAAAATTCTTCACGAATTTGTTGAAAGATCGGGTTCCACCCGTACGGAAAGCGCATTGTCAAGTCGGTGAAAAATTCTCAACAGAGAGTTGGGGAAATGAAGAGATGCCCTCACAAAAACGATGAATAACCATGCAAGCGGGGAAAATCTCAGCGATGAGGTAAATTATTTGTAATTTTCATTTTATTAATTTTAATGTCCTATTAATTTTAATTTTAATGTTTCTTGCAATTGGTATATTTTGTTAATATTTCTTGTATTTCCATATTTATTTAAATGTTTCTTGCATTTTTATATTTTGTTATTATTTCTTGTATTTCTAATATTTATTTAATTGGTTGTTGCATTCTCTATATTTTGTTAATATTTCTTGTATTTCCATATTTATTTGAATGTTTCTTGCAATTTTTATATTTTGTTATTATTTCTTGTATTTCTAATATTTATTTAAATGGTTGTTGCATTCTCTATATTTTGTTAATATTTCTTGGATTTTCATTCATATGTTTATCTTTTTTGCATTACCAATATTTTTTTTAAGTTCCTTGCTTATTCAATTTTTTTTTATATAGATTGTGCAAGCTCAAATGTGGTATGGTGCTACTGGACAAGGGAAAAAAAAGTTTCAACCATACCCAATGTTGGGAGGTGGTGAAGCATTGTAAGAGATTTAGCATTATTTCAACGGCTCCAACAGTGGTGTTAAACGAGACGCCACTCCATGATTCACAAGCTTCAAATTCGCCTATGGAATCCCCTATGAGTGAAGACTCACCCATTCAAAAAGAGCCGAGGCCTATTGGGAGGAAGGCGGCTAAGGCAAAAAGAGGAATTAATTCTATGAGTAATACCTTTAAATTTTTGGAGGAAATTGCAAGGCAAAGCGCCTTGAGAATTGAAATAGATAGGAAAGTCCAAGAAGATGATAGGGCAATGGCAATAGAATTTGCTAAAGAAAGGGAGTATGTACGCAAAGAAAGGGAGTATCAACGCAAAGAAAACGAAGAAAAGAATGATCGGGAAACCATGGCCATGGATACAAGCCACATGTCTCTTGAAACAAAACAATATTGGAAGCTAGAACGAAAGACTATTATGAGACGAAGACTTTTTCGTGATGATGGACCTAGCAATACGGATTGGTTAAATGATGAAAACCCTTAAGTTAGTTTGCTTGCCTTTTCATTTCATTGTATTTTAATGTTTTGTTTTAAAAATTAGTTGTAATTCATGTATTTTATTTTATTAGTAGTATTGAAATTGATGTATTTTATTAGTATTTTATTAGTAGTTGTAATTCATGTATTTTATTTTATTAGATGAAATTTATCTGAAATTTGAAACAAAAATTTATCTGAAATTTGAAACCGAAAATCTTATATGAAAATCTTATCCGAATATTTTATCTGAAAATCTCATCCGAAAATATTGTCCAAATTAATTGTTTAGGTAAATAATTTGTGAAAAAAAACAAAAAATTGAATAGTACCCCCCCTTGCCAAGGCAACTGCTAGAAGTGCAACTTACTTTTTGCAAAGGCAGACATATTCCTGTGAATAGTGTCAGCCCTAGCCCCCCTTTGCCATGGCAAGATTCCCACTGCTGGAAGTCGCCTAACAAATTGGAAAGGGAAAGGTTTTTTCTTTCCTCTGTATCTTTTGACCCTTATAGCCACAATTCATAAAAATATGCACAACTCCTGATTGCTTTCCTCAGTTGAACTAACTTTTTAATTCATCAATAGGGGTGACTTTAAATTCATAACAGAACAAAATCACACTTTAAATACTCGGCTCATTTTCCCCAACTTCAAATTCCATCTGCTTTTATCCAAAAAAAAAAAACAAAAAAAAAAAAAAAAAAAATTCCTCTCTTTTTAAAGACGAATTTTCTTAGCAACCAAATACCCAAATTTTGTTTTGGTATGTTTTTGGTTTAGAAATTTGTATTTCCCTCTCTTGGTACTCTAAAAAGGAAAACTCGGATGCTAGAAAGCATGTAAAAATAAGAGAGTTTCACTATTATAACTAATATAGGGGTCCACATTACAAATAAAAAAACCTTACATGAAATGGACTTTAGAAACCCACACAAAGCTCATTTACAACGTAGCAAGCCCAACCCCAAAAGCTCATAATAAATAATCCAAAACACTCAACATGACATCAAAGTAATTTAATAATCAAAATTAAATTCAACAGGGTCAGCTGTCCTTTTTGAGTTTGTTTATAGAAATTAAATGGTGTAGGGTTTGTTTATAGAAATTAGGGTAAATTTCACTTTTCTACTTGTAAGTTTCCAAAGATTAACACTTTGCTATACAGAGTTTTTGTCTTCTCATTTTCATTCCCAACAATTACTTTCACTATCAGGCCCCATTTGGTTCATGGGAAAATAGGCTTGGGGATGAGAAATCAATTGCTTTCCCATGTTCGGTAAGTTCATACATGGGAAATAGTTGCATTGCACATGGGAAAGTAGGGGGAGAAAGTGAAGCCCTCCTCCCAACTTGGGTTTTGTTTTCCCTTCTCATAGGAAAGTTTGGAAAAATGAGCAAATATTAAATGCACATTTTTCATGACCATTTTGGCCCTATTAACAATTTAGAATTACAATATATCATTAAATGCATTTTTTTAAATTTGATTTAATATGGATAATTGAAAAATTATACAAACTTTGTATTCCATTCATACTCAAAACTAGAGGTGTCAAACTGGTCGTGCCAGGCCGGCTCATCCCATTTAAACTCGTGCTTTTAATGTTTTCGTGCTGGGTCAGGTCAGCCGGCCCGGCCCAAAGCCCATGTCCACATTGAAAATGGCCGGGTTGGGCTCGTGCCGTGCCTGTGCTCGTGCCATACTCGGGCCCAAGAACCAACCCATTTAATTTGAATTTTTTTCACTTGATTTTTTTTTTCCACTAGATAATTCAAATTATAAACATTAAAAATATAATTATTGGTAGGAAATGATGAACTATTTGAAAACATTAATCAATCAAACATCCAAATAATATGAAAGGGTGGAGGGCAAAAAATGTCCAACTCCACAAAGTCCACTTCAACTTTTCATCTTTAAACAACTTATTATTTTATATGAGAAGAAATGTCTTGCTTTGATTATAAGAGATGCGTATATGTCATATTTACTGATTAGATATCAAGTCCAATGTTGTTTAATTAATTCGTAGTTGATATGTTTAATTAATTAAGGACCCAAGTAATTTCCCTAAAATGAAAGACATCAAATATATGTTTATGATTTTTTTTAATTAAAAAAAAACTATATAAACAATGACATTAGATGTCAAATTATTGCATTTTGACTTTTGAGAAAGAAAAAAATGTTAAGTGGGCCAGGCTTCGGCCGTGCTTGAAGCGGGCTTGGGCTCGTGTTGTGCTTAAAGCGGGCTCGGGTCATGGGCCGGCCCGGTCCATTGGACCTCATTTTTTGATCCTAGCCTTGCCCAAGTTTTCATGCCATGCCGAGCACGGCCCATTAATATTTGTGCTCGTGCAGTGTCTCATTTAAAAGGGTTGGGCTCGTGCCGTGCTGGGCCGGCCCGTCCCATTTGACACCTCTACTAAAAAAACGTGGAAAATGGAATAAAGTGATATCTCCCGATTACTTTCTCAGCATTACCAAAAGTGTGCCCCATAAGGTGATCTTATTTGCAACGCTTTTTCTGGGCATCACATCTCCTTACATGAAACATTTCCAAAAAAATTTCCATTTCACTTTCATTAATTTTCAATCTTTTAATATTCCTTTTAATTGACACAATTTCCATTTCATGTTTCTAATGGTAAAATATGATCATGAAATGAATAATGGATATCTTCATCAGCATAAATTTTAATGATTCGCAAGAAGCGTAGGATTGCAATGCAAGTTACAATACTATTGATATTGTTACAACCTGAGCTCCTTGAATGATGTTTAATATTGCAATGCTCAAAGATTTATTTCGTTTTTATTTTATTCTTACCACCACACACCGTCCCAATAGGTGCAGAAATATTCCTAGATGGTCCCTTTTGTAATTTAATTATTCAGGCCCAACGTAGTCTAATGTGATCCATGTTTCAATGTCAATCTCGTTGTTGGAGAAAGCAAAAAAAAATGTTATTGTTTCCAATCAATAATGCCTGCCTAGGAAGATTCATAACCAAAAAATATATATAGTAAATTTGGCTTACACCCTTCAAATTCAATTTGCCGTACCTAAAACCCTTAACTTTTTGTTCCTATAAATAATACCCAATTTGTATAAGTAAAAACCCATGACTAGGATTCAACTCAGCAAGTTACCTAATTAAGCATAAAATCTGATTTATTGTACTTTTTAGATTCCAAAAATACCCCCAACTAAGCCATTATTGCATTTTGTATATTAATGTAGGAATCAATATGGAAACAATTTTTAATTGGATTGTATATAATAACAGATGTTGAATTTGGAAAGATCTCCAAATGGTTGTAATGGATGTAGGAATTAATTTTGAAACATTTTAAAAAAAAATTTAACAATAAATTCAAATTTGGGTAATCGGTTTGTTTAATAAAATGTTTATGTTATTTTCTTTTTATGAATTATACATGACTAATAATCCACTTTATAATTGTTTATGAATAAAACTATACATACTAATTATGTTGAAAAAATAATGTACCTATTACTTGTTTGTTTTATGAAAAATATAATTTACCTTGTATGAAAAGTGTACATAATTATCTATTCCAATATACCTACATTAATTTTAATGTACTTACAATTAGGATTTAGGTATTATATGTCATCCAATGTACCTACCATTTGAATAATATACCTACTACGAATAAAGTACCTATTATTTATCTAAATAATGTACCTATTTTTTTATCTAAATAATGTAATTTATTTTTTTTCTATAAATAATATAGCCTTTTTTCTCTGAATAAAGTACCTATCATTTGTTTTATTAAAAGTAATTTTTTTAAATGAACCTATTTTCTCTCTCCAAATAACTTACCTATTTTTTTCCTCTAATAATGTACCTATTTTTCATAGGTACATTATTGGATATGTAATTTATTGGATACCTATATTTTATATGTATATATTTATATTATAATTTTCATAAGTACATTATTGGATATGTAATTTACAGATTTTTTTTGTTGTTTGCAATTTTAGGGGGCGAGATGTGAGAGGGAATGACAACTATAAGAAATGGGGTGATTGATATGCTATTAATAGGGAATATATTAATTACAATTATGACAGTTAATGAAATGCTTGAAATAAATTATAAATAAAATATGAAGTTTAGTGGCAACAATGTAAAAACATAGAAATACTACGACCTCTTATATTCTACTGGTCATTTAAATTTGAAATTGGGTTTTACACATAGATTTATAGAGTGATGGGTATATATCTAGGAAATAGAAAATGTATGGATCTATATTGGACAAGCCCAAATATATATATATATATATATATATATGCCTAGAAAGATCACATTTTTGCTACCATATCAATTAGTACATGTGGGATTTTTTTTGTCAGATAAAGAAGAATTTTGCTTGGGGTTGATTCTGTAAAAAAAACAAAAAGCAGAGAGAGATAGAGAGAAATTTGTTTGGGGTTGACGATTGTGCTTTTGGTTTGTATCAGATTGCAAATTGTTCAAAAAATGGGTATAATATTCAAGTGGAGAAAGAGAAGAAGTTGACCAAACGCAAAGGGTCATCAGTTCTTCTTTTGTTCGGACTACCGGAGTAATTTTTCTCAAATACTTTTTCATTATAAGTTTTTTTTTGTTGTTGTTGTTGTAAACTTATATTATAAGTTTCTCAAATTATGAAATCTTTTATTTTAATAAATGTTTTATTGCATACAGGGTAACAATGGGTAGGATTTTAACGCATGAGATGATGCATGTATGGTTATATCTTCAAGGTTCGAAATCAAGATTATGCTTCACTCAATTTGAAAATGATTAAGTTTTTCTTCAGCTATTTTTCCCTCGTAATAAAACATTTGTACATTACTACTAAAAAAAATTTAATGGACATAAGTATTGGTGTCCACAAATATTTTATTTTTATTGGCACTTTTCGTGTCCGCTATATTAATGGAATGCCCTTTAGTATATTAGGAACCAAAAGTGTCGATGCAAACTTCTTTTGTGAACCAAAAGTGCCCTTTAAAATTTAAACGAAAAATTATTCTACTTTAAATTTATCTTAAGTGATATAGTGACTTTCACTTACCCAATTTCTCTCTCACACTATAACTTGTCAATGTCTTGTCATTTCATACCTCCACTAACCATTTTCAATGCCCTAGTCAATTAGTTCATTCATTTAGAATCCAACAAAAAGAATCTCTCTCTCTCTCTCTCTCTCTCTCTCTCTCTCTCTCCCCAATCAGGCATTAGCCAATCCAAAACACGCATTGCATTCCCGATGCATGAGACACAATCAAATAAGCTTAGCATATAAGGCACATAGGAGAATAGGTCAGAATGCCATGCGGTTAAATTCAATCAAATATCATATCTTCCCTCTTCAATCAAGAATTAGTTTATTCTCCACACCTCAATCCATTAGGATTAGGCCTCGTCAAGCCCGGCCCAAATTTAATGGGCTTGGGCAGGATTGGGCCGGGCTTCAAAGAAGAGAGAGAAAATAACAGGCTAGGCCGAATTTTTTTGGAAAATTCAAAGCCCAAACCCATCCCATGAGTTGGATTGGGTTAAGCCCAATGGGCCTACTTTATTTTGACCTTTTTTTTTATATGGATTTTTTTTGTCAATTCTTTTTTTTTCTATGTTTTGGTGTGTTTCTATGTTTCCATTTTTTTTCTTAGCTCTCTATTTACATTTTTCTATAAGTTTATGTCTCCATTTTTTTCTTTGTTAATAACTTCATAGTTCTTTTTTTTTCCTCCATAAATATAAAGATATAGTTATACAACCGCCATATTAATAAACTCATATTTTATCCCCTACTTCATTTTTTTTTAGTTCTTACAATGATAATAGATAATAATTTTCTCCATCTTTCATTTAACTTGGGTTTTTTTAATTATATATTTATTTATATGTATGTGAGCCCATGGGCCGGGCTTTTATGGGCGTGTCAGGCCGGACTTTCTTGGGCTCAAATGGGCCGGGCCTATGGGTCGAGCCTATAGGCCGAGTTGGGCTTTAGACACCTAAGCCCAAGCCCAACCCACTCAACAATGGGCTAGGGTGGCCCATGGCCTATAAATGGTCGGGCCAAACTTTTTCTCGATGGGCCAGACGGCCCCCTATCGGCCCATGGGCTCGTGGGCCTAATGATGACCCCTAATTATGATGGTCCTCCTTTTTCTTCTTCTTCTTCTTCTTTTCCTTCCTTATTTTCAAATACAGTGTAGTGGTAACTAATTATGTAATTGGTTTGGTGCAGGCAGACAATGTGGATTGAATCAACTGTTGCACCAATAGAAGGAGCAGTGGCTTTCCTCACATTGCTAGGAGTCCTCTATTGCATATGGAAGAAGAGAAGAGCTTCTTCTACATGCACCAACCTTGTCGATCACGCGATAATCGAGGTCATTACTGACTAGATTCTGGAGCAGCTTTGAGTTGTTGTTAATATAAGTGACTCTATTCTCTATGTCTCTCTCTTACTGTGTACATAATTCCCTGGCTATAATAATATTTGAGAATGACAAGTAGTTTAATTTATAGGGCTTGTGCAATAGAGGTCCCTATAATTCCTATTTCCTAGACATATTTCCATCATTCTATAAATATTTGTAAAACTCAATTTCAAACTTAAACGACCAATAGGATATAAGAGCTCATAGTATTCCTATGTTTTTACATTGTTGCCATCAGACTTCATATTTTATTTATAATTTATTCCAAACATTTCATTAACTGTCATAATTGTAATTAAAACTCCCTATAAATAGCATATCAAACCCCATTTCTTTTGGTTGACATTCCCTCTAACATATCTCCCCCATTAAAATAAAAGAAACAAAAAAAAAAAAAAAAAAAAAAAAAAAAAAAAAAAAATATCCAATAATGTACATATGAAAAATATGAATATAAATATATATATGTATAAAAATATAGGTATATTATTTACCAACAAAATTAAAAAAAAAAACTAGGTCAATTACTTTGTAATTGAAATTTCTGTACAGTTGTCATAAATTATAAATAGGTACACAATAATTTATAGAAAATTGGTACATTGTATAATTGAAATTTATGCACATTTTCCAATTGAAAATAGTTTCATTATACTAGGTAAATTGTTTTACTAAGGTACGTTATTAGAGAAGAAAAAAAAAAGGTACATTATTTGGAGAGAAAAAATAGGTTCATTTAAATAAATAAAAAATTATTTTCATAAAACAAACAATAAAAAGATGATTAGGGGAAAACCAAGGAGAGAAAGACAGTGAAAGAAGGGACTGATGAAGGGGATGGGGTAGAGACCAACTGCTGGGTGTGGGAGGGAGGAGTAGCCGCTGGGATGGCTTGAGAGAGAGAGAGAGAGAGAGAAAGGGTTGCTTTGGTTTTTGTCCAAGATGGTAGTACATTGCAACACACAACAAAGTCTGGATGCCATATAACATGTAAATTTTCTTTTTTCTCGATCATAAATGCACACGGCCCCTGTTTGTGTTTCACATGGAATTTATACAAATTCTGAAGTGTCAACTAATGCATGTTTTCTTGTAGTGAAACGACATCGTTTTAGACAGACAAAACTTTAAAAAAAAAAATTTTTTTGTGGCTTTTAATATGGCCTCCATAATTCCTTGGGATTGGGAGTTCTCTTTATTTAATTAGGCTTTAATAGGGTTGCACAATTCCTTATTTAAGTGTGTATATCACAAGAATCCTGCGTTTTTTTTTTCATCTTAAAGAAATATTCCTATATGGTCCCTTTTTTAATTTAATTATTAAGGCCCAAAGTAGTCTAATGTGATCCATGTTTCAATATTAATCTCGTTATTGGAGAAAGCGAAAAAAAAGCTATTGTTTCCAATCAATAATGCCTGCCTAGGAAGATTCATAACAATATATATATATATATATATAGTCCCTTTCTATTGAGGGACGCCCTTTAGGGTATCATACGAATTTATTTTCAATGATCCAAACCATCTATTTTTTAAGTCTATATTCATAGATCATCTTTACAAAAAATTAGACAAATCGGAAACCGTTTCGACATCCAATTGTGTCCTACAAAATCAATGAACATGGTGCTTCAAGAAAGTACTAAAATTTCAAGAACTCAATTGAGTGGTAAAATGATATCGGATTCAAGTGATTTTTTTGTAGAGATGATCTTTGAATGAGTATCTACAAAATAAATGGTTTGGATTAGTGAAATACAATCCGGAGTGAGCCCTACAAGCAGTGGCGGAGGTAGAGTTTGATATTTGGAGGGGCCACAAGCTTAAAACTATGGGATTTTTTTGTGCAATCTATACTACACTCTTTATATAGTCAAAGAGGTGAGAAGATGTTGGGGGGGCCCAGGCCATCTCAGACCTATAAATAGCTCCGCCCCTGCCTACAAGGGGTGTCCCTCAAATAAGCTTATTTTTAGGAGCTTTCTATAAAATTTCAACTTCAATCTTACTCTCAAGTTTAGGGAGTCATAAATGCTAGAATTATATTTTAATTCAACATAAATGGTCCATCTCTATTAAAAAATATATATATATATATATATATATCTATATATAAAGCAAAAGGTAGAGAATGGTGAAACATTCAAAATACCAAAAATGCCCTTGGTTAATGCAAACATTAAGAATTGAAATTATTAATTAAATGAGGATAATATGGTAAATTCAAACTTTTTCATATTTAAAAAAAAATTAAAATTAAAAGAAAAATCAGATAATGGATCCTATTTTTATGGAACACAACTACCCATTATCTTTTTTAATTCTAAAATAAATTTAAATTTTTTTTAAAAAAAGCCACTCGCAGGCGCGGAAGCGCGTGCGGAGAGGCTAATATATATAAATATACAATATTGATTAAAGGTTTTAAAATATTCATTAAATAAGGTAGCTTTAAATTATAGGGAGCCACTAGGAGTTCATTATCTCTCCTCAGATTTAGGAGCTCCTAGAGGTCACCCTATTTTAGGAGCTAGATAGGGAGCATGATTGAAGGTGGGTTTTCTTACTTGCTCCCTAAATTTTATCTAAGGAGGTGGTTTAGGGAGTTCATTGTGGATGCTCTTAGTACACGTGGGAAATTTTTTTTTTTTCAGATAAAGAAGAATTTTGCTTGGGATTGATTCTGTAACAGAGAGAGAGAGAGAGAGAGAGAGATTTGTTTGGGGTTGACGATTATGCTTCTAATTTGTATCAAATTGCAAATTGTTCCAAAAATGGGTATAATATCCAAGTGGAGAAAGAGAAGAAGTTGATCAAGCGCAAAGGGTCATCAATTCTTCTTTTGTTCGGCCTAATTTTTCTAAAATACTTTTTATTATAAGTTTTTTTTTTTTAAACTTTTATTTTAAGTTTCTAAAATTATGAAATCTTTTATTTTAATAAATGTTTTATTGCATACAGGGTTACAATGGGTAGGATTTTGGCGCATGAGATGATGCATGCATGGTTATATCTTCAAGGTTCGAAATCTAGATTATGCTCCACTTAATTTGAAAATGATTAAGTTTTTCTTCAGCTATTTTTCCCTTAATAAAACATTTGTACATTATTACCGAAAAAAAAAATTTAATGGACATAGGTATTGGTGTCCATAAATATTTTATTTTTATTGGCACTTTTCGTATCCACTATATTAAAGGAAAGCCTTTTAGTATATTAGGAACCAAAAATGTCGATACAAACTTCTTTTGTGAACAAAAATATCATTGTCCAATGAATTTCTTTTAGTAATGGTACTTTGTAAATTGTAATAGGTTGTACGGATTTGGATAAAACAGTTTGTGAAGGTATTTGCGAAGCAATCGAATACCAATGGTTGGATTGGTTTTGTGAGGAGGAGAAAAATAGTTTGGAGTCTTACATAATCAAGTTTACTCAATTTACCAGCAAGTTGAAAATGTATTTAGCATACAAGATGACAATGGGTGTTGACAAAATTTATGGACATGGATTTAGAGAAGCTAAGTGGGCAGTTAGTAAATATAACCTCCACAAAACTCAGCAACATATCGTTCGATACAAGAGATTCCCTCCATAGCTAAACTTGGAGAAAACAAGACTAAAGCTTATAAGATCTCCAAACAGAAGAACTCCTCAATTTCTAAATTCATAATTAACTACTTTTGTGAAGCCAAATTGTCTATGCTTGGAATGTATCTCTGCATTGGGTAAACTTTATTATGTAACTGTTAAATTTTTAGTGGCACGTGGCACTACTGGAGAATGACACCTGTTAGAAACACTAATGGCACATGCTTACGTTGCTTTCATGTGTCATTATCTTCAATTTATCTTTATTTTTTCATGCTTTTATCTCCCAAATTTGTAATAAATACATTAAGAATCTAAAATAAAAATATATAGCGAAAATTTCTAAGAACTCATTCTGACATTTTTTTTGTTTGTAAAGCACCAAAAAACTCATTTTGACATACAATAAAAGTGCACATTAATAACTCAACCTAAATTTTATTTTTATACTAATTATAATACTAAATTGAATCATTAGCCTTCTTCACTAGAACTCTTCTTCCAATTTTATTTTCCAGTTTCCCTAAATCAAAATTTGATTTGGAACTTCTTAATCGAAGATAATGTTGTAATAAGTTCTATAGCAATTTTTGATGTATTTTTTATGAGTTTTGATAATAATTTTTTGTGACTTTTTAAAGATAAAAACAAAAAAAATGATGTTTAAATGACATGTGGAGTACGAGGCACCTTGCCACTATTGCCAAGTGTCATTCTCTTCAATTTATTATTATTTTTCTATGTTTTAGCTTCCATAGTCCATAGTAAATACATTAAAAATTAGAAAAATACACTATAAATTCATAGGAATTACTATTCTGATTTTCTTCGTTGGTGCGCTCCAAAAATGTCATTGTAACTAATAAAAATGCAAAGTAATAACTCAAACTCAATTGTGTTTTTATCCTAACTATAACACTAACTTGAAGAATATTAACCTTTCTCGTTTGACATAAAGAAAAAAAAAGAGAATATTAACTTTTCTCACTAGAACTATGATCCAACCAAATAGTTCACATACATACATATACAACATGAGTTTCATGTATAGGAGGAATAACTACATGGCATAAGGCCATTTTATTGAAAAATAAAAGGGTGTTTAGAGACAGAATTGGGTATTGTATAAAAAGAAGGCTTATTTACACTAATTCTCCTTGAAACTACTGTCAAATCTCACTTTGCCCCCTCAAACTTAAAATCACCCACTTCCCACCGTTGACTAAGGTTTGGTGACTCACTTTAGCCCTAATATTAACTTTTATTACGTGATAAGGGTGTTTTTGTAATTTCATACACATGGAATATTATCCAGCAATGGAGTGGTGACATGGCAAATGGAGCCCTCTGTTGAGTTGTATTCTAGTTAATATTCTTTTAGCTTTCTTTGCCAACTTTGTAATAAGTCATGTAATGTATTTCCCAAGCTCAAGGTTATTAGACTAGGTTAAATTGTTATCTAGTTGTTCTCCTTTGGTTGTGATCATTAATGGCTCAACATATTCAAGGGATGCAAAAGGTAAATTCTGTATTACATTCATTAGATTGCATTAGGTTATGACTAGTCATTTTGTATGTGTTTGACTAGTCATCTTTTGTGCTTCATGAGGTATGCCAGCTCACTTCGTTTTTCCTAGTTGGTCTTAAGGAATTTTTTCTTATTCTTTGATATTCTTCTGCTGCCATCTGTCTGTTTCAGATAGGAATTTTGGGTAAATGGTCCCTTCATTCCTTTTGGGGTCGTTACTTCAAAATAGGTGGTTTTGAGAGGTAGTGAGGTTCTCCTCCTTTGCTCTCATTTTCTTTGGAAGTGATTTCTCCATCTCTTCATAAATGAGTTTTCTAAATAGATTTTGAAAACTGCATTGAAAATGAAATTTCATCTAGCTAAATCAAACACATACTCATATAGATCTAGATTAGATTCTAGATTGATTTCTTCAAGAGTATGGTTTCTTGAAGAAATTGGTCATTTTATTTTGAATCCAAATTTTGGGTTCCTATTCTGATTGAAGCTGAGTCGCCGGTGCCATGGGATGAACAAGTTGAAGAGGAAGCTATCATTGCCATGAAAGACTAGCTGCAAGTTTTGCTAAGTTTGGAAAAGAAGATTGCATGGAGGAGGTATAGCTCATTCTGCAAATAGATCTAGGTTTCCTTGATTTTTGCTTGTGATTTCTCTGTAAGAATTTTCTTTACTTAGTGGATTGCCTGATCGGATGATGACTCCCAGTTTTTCCCAATGGTGGGTTTCTGGGTGAACAATTTTATGGGTTTGTTGTTTATGTTTAGATGGGTTTGTGTTCTTGCTATTTGACTAGTCATCATTTGAATGTTGCAATATACTTGTTCTTGATGTATTCACACACACACACACACATCTCATCTTAATTGTTGTTAGCACAAGAGATGCCTAGATTGACAGGTCATTCTAAGTGCCTAGATTGTCACTAGTGATTTTCTAGGTTTGCAGGTATCAATTGTTTACTTTGTGTGTGATTGTTGCTATTTTATGGCTCTTCGTTGACTAGTCATATTGATCTCAATTTAAGCTAAAATTTGTTTAGTTGGTAAGTCTTTAAAGTAGCTTTTAATTTATCCCCTTCACCTAAGTACCAATTACACCCTCCTCCACATAGGTAAAAACATAATTATTATTCTAATAATTAATATAATTAAAAATTAAAATAAAACAGAAAAAATTAAGTTAAAAAATCTTAAAATCTTAATAAAGAATTTAAAGGGAAATAAAAAATAAAAAATCTCTCTCAACACCCTGCCCCCTTATCCCCTCCTCCAACCACCACCACAAACTCCCCGACAAGCTTTCCGGCACATTTGATGACCGGAAACTCTATTACTTTTAACACTGGCATCATTGTCATCCACATCATCACTCAATTGAAGGATAATAATCCATGTGTATGAAATTATAAAACGCCCTAGCCACGAGATTAAAGTTAAAAAAACCTTTGGATGATCCATGTGTATGAAATTAAAAATACATTGTACATTCGTATGAATTCCTTGTGACATTTTCTTTGTTCGTAAGCTCTAAAAACTCATTTTTACGTATAAAAATACAAAGAAATAACTGAATTTTGTTTTTATATTAACTAATTTGAAGAATGTTAAGGCTCGTTTGGTATCATGCAAAAATAAAATAAAATAAAATAAAAAATAAAAAATCATGATTTAAAAAAAATAAAAAAGAGTTTTTAAATACTGATTGTAGGATCTAAAAACTTATTTGGTATTGAACAACAAACAATTTTTAAGATCTGAAAAAAATTATGTTAAAATCAGAAATTTGGACACCCTAATTCCCAAATTGAAATTAAGAACAAAGAGAGAGAGAGAGAGAGAGAGAGAGAGGAAAAAAGTAACACATGGCTTTTTTGTTTTCAATAATGGGTTTTTTTTTGGGTTTGGATTTTCAAAAATAGGCCTATCAAATGGGTTTTTTGAGCTTTGAACTTAAAATTTGTTTTTGAGTTTATAAAATGGGTCCGAGTAAAATACCGAACATGCCCTTAACCTTTCTCACTAGAACTCTGATCCAACCAAACAGTTCAACTACATTATGATCATATATTCATTTTTAAGGAATCACATACACATGAGTTTCATATATAGGAGGAAGGGATAACTACATGGCATGAGTGCCAATTTTTTTTCATGGACGTCTCCTATTGAGAGGGATGATAATATATTAAACTTACACACATAACACATATGCTAGGACTCAAATTCAGGACTTTACCAAGGAAAATAAAGCAATTATTCTAAACCACTGCACTAGTGAGTCCAAATCACTACACTATTGAGTCTTTTGCATAAGTGCCATTTTTTTGAAGGAAAGAAAAAAGCTCTGGATTTGTCACCACTTTGGGCCGAGAACGCCTACTGGATTCCTCTGGGCCGTTAATTCTTCCTCCCAAAGCTCTCACCTTCTTTGTTCCTCAACAAATTATTTACCGAAGCGACGTGGTGAAGTTGATTTTCGCGCCTCATGCAAGGGTTTTCCGAGACCGGTTCAGGCAGCTCTGAATCAGAAGACTTGTCTAGAAACTGTGCGTTTCATTCCTCGTTGGCTTTACATTCTCTGTTTATATGATCTCCATTTCAAATTCATTAGTTTTGCTGTCAAATATGCCTTTTGTTTTAGATAAGAGAACCAAAGGAAGCAGACGCTATGTTCCTCAGAAGAATTCTGTAGCATATGCATTGTTGATTACACTTTACAGGTAAACTGGAATTTTTCTTTAGCTAATATGCACTGCAGTGCACTCTCACACAGCTGTGGTTGAATTTCTTTTGTCACATTTTTTTTTGTAAAATTGGAGTTTTCTGATGTTAAGTTATCATCCGGGGAATTGGAAATGGGAATGAATTTATGCGTAAATAGGATCTTATCGATGCAGCTGAAGCAACTGGGCTTTCTCGTGTGCCAATTATGTATGTTAATTTATGATATTAGTTCTGTAATTATCTTTTGTTTTATTTTTGTTTATTTGGGTTTAATTTGAATGTATGTGATGTTTTGAGACTGGGTTCTCTGCTCTTAGGCCAGAGAAGGGAAAGGGAAAAGCTGGACGCTTTGGGAGTTCTGCAAGGGAGTGGTATAGTGGATGGTCCTGCATGAAGACATTGATATCCAAGAGACTGGTTATCAATCAAGTTGCCCAGTAAAGTATTTCTTTTGTTTCTACATTTCTTTCTCATGTTTTGTTATGCTGTCTAGAAATTTAATATTTATCTTATATCAATTTTCTGCCTCTGTACTTGTAAATTTGAATGGCAAGAGCTCTCGCCTTATGACCTTCACAAATTTACGCAGAACAAGGAAAAATAAACCACATGGTCTTTATGAAAAATGAATTACTTACAAAATCATTCACAACTAAAAAGTATGTAGTAGGAAAGATCTGTTTTCATATAAATGATCATTTACAGATGGACTATCATGTGAAATTTATTAGAATCGTTGTTGTAACAGTTAGTTATTTTCTGTTTAATAGAAGCATGTCTTGTCAAACCGGCAATGGGAAAATATTTTCTTTTTAGGTAATTGACATTTGAGTTGATTACAGGCTTAAGAAAATAATGATACTACTAGCTATGGAACCTTGTTCGTGGTATGGTTAGGTTCAACCTGATTTAGTACTTGCTTGAACCAAATATTTAGAAATCATGTATTATGGCAAGCAGTTCTTATAAACATAGACCTGGAAATTGTCAAGTTACAGTTTGATTGCATTTTTGCTATTAGAAGATGGTAATGCATGTAGAAACTGCAGGTACATGCTTAATCAAGAAGGTCAGGAAGCTGCACGTGAATGTCTCATGAGGTCTAGTATGGAAAACCCCATTGAAAAAACTGTTAATGCTAAAGTGCTTTCTGTTCTGGATGTGGAGAATATTTCACATCAGGAGCTTGCTCATCGTGACTCAGCCACGGAAATGATATTGTTATCCCCTACTGTGAGTAGGTGGAAGAAATCATTTGATATTCCACGGCTATACATTGTGAAGGTATGTCTCTTACTAGCTTTTTAATTTTATCTTGACTTGTGGACTGGGAATAATAATCAGTTTCGATCTTCATTGATTTATTATAATTGCTGACACCCTCCTTTCCAATATTAAACTTTTAACTAAAGAGTTTGGTCTTGGTTGCTTAGTTCGTTTTAGACCTTCCCTCTGATTTGGGTTTTCTTTGTCCATAATATCATGTCATGTCAAGTGATATGGACCCACTTTCTTTCCCCCTATTTCTTCCCATCCTTTGAAGCTCAAAGGGAAGTTGTTTAAGTAGATTTATATGCTAAAATGTTGATAAGAAATGTGTTACAATTATTTTGAGATGAATGAAGTTAGTTTGGAAATGATTCCTTGAACAGAGAAAGTTGTTTTTATTTTTTATTTTTGCTTTTTTTGTGCACAAAAATTGACTGCTTGGTATTTTAAGTGGAGTAGAATCCAGATCTTGTTTTCCGAGGAAAAAATTTCATTTTATTTGACTGCCTACATTTGTTTGTTTGTGAAATTTCAGTTGAGGCTTCCTCAAGGCTTCTTCCAAAATATACCTATGTGGCAGAACCATGAATCGTATATGAGGCTTAGATTCTTTGGATCCTTGTTAATAAGTTTGATGCCTTCTTTTTAATTGATATATATCTGAAAATATCATGTCAAATTGAAAGTGTCAAAATAGTTCCATACAGAGTTTTACTAAAAATCATACTTTAAGAGTCACATGCGAATTTTAGTTGTAGATTTGCAACACTGAAGTAGGAACTTCTATGGCACTTCTTTATTAGATTTGAAAGTCACTTTTTCGAGTTCTGTTGAACACTGCTGAGTGTACTGTTATATGTTGCTCATTGACTCGTTGATTTTCTTAGAGTCATCCTGTGCCTAAGTCTAGATCGGATGATTTCAAAGCAAGTTCAAATGTCTTTTCTTTGCCGCCTCTAAGCTTTGGGGAGACATTTGAAGATGCATATGAAGTGATCTTGATTTTGGATGATCGAGAGCAATCTGCCACTCAGGGGTCAGTAACTTATTTCTTCTGCCATATTTCTTTTCATTTTGAAGCTAGTGAAAGATACTTCTTGTTCTTTCTCGACCTCAAAAGAGTTTTGTGGTTAAGTAATAATTATTTCATAATGAAAGACAGAGCAATAATTTATCAAATTAATTTAAAGATTTATGAATATAAAGAGAAGAATCAAAGAGTGGGAGAAGATGAAGGCTGAACAGAATTAAAACATAAATCTTCCCCAGTCTTCTTCTCCGATCAACCCCCAGCCCTCTTACCACTCAATTGCTCAAGAGGGAGATCAGTGAGAGAGAAGAGAGAGGGGCGGTTGTGAGTGAGAGCACCTTCCCCTGTGTGCATTTCCTGAATTTTTTAGATTTGTCATGTCATCATGTCTGTGTCGTGTTGTAACCGGTCTCCCTTTGATGTACTCTTCATGTTGGATCCTTGCTATTGTACTATGCTCAATACTAGTGTTTAGTCCTATTCTTTGTCCATTGTTTTGCTAGTGTTTATAAAACTCTGATTAATTTTGTATCTATTGTGTTTGGATCACGACCTGGGAGAATAATTGAGAATGTTCGTACTCAATTCAAAATCAAAATAGAGGTCAGATCTCGAAGTCTGTTATGTGCTAGTTTTTCTAATACTTTCATTGAACATTAACTAGATTTTGAACTGTCGAGTATCCTTTTCATATGTTTTACTTTGTATCAGTTTCACAAAACATGGCAACTTTTGGTTCTGCTTTTTGTCACTTTTTGTGTGTTTGTATTGTGTTGACATATTTTGCTACTTCATGATTGAGGGCCAGTTTGGCATTGCTGTGCTGTGAAAATAATCGCTGTCAGATTTGCTGTGAGAGAAATCAGCTGTGAAAGAAAGCAGTTTGGCGTTTGGTAAAATTTTTGTTGAAAGTGTTGTTGGTATTGATTTTATGCAAAATCAGAAAATGATTGCTGCATAATCATTAAACCCAACATCTCTTCGAAACTGATTCCTGCATAATCAGAAAATGAAAGCACCTCATTAGCTGCTTTCCCTTATAGCTTTCTCTCACAGCAATTTTTAATAATAAGTGATTTTTTCGCAATTTACCAAACAGGTTGGGTTTCTCAAAATTTTTAAAAAATCACTTATCACCCCAAATAAGCAATGCCAAACTGGCACTGAGTCAGCTGAAACTTTTAAATACAATGTGGAAACTTTTCATGTTTCCCTCTTCAGTTATGAGATAGTTTTTTATGTAATGGCACAGTGAATTCTGTGAAGCTAAGCTAATGGCCTTTTTTCTGAAAAGTATATACCTGTGGAATTGTCAGTAATATATTGCAAGTGTGTAATTTTTTTGCATTTAATTTTGTTTTTCTTGTTACTTTTTGGTTTGTTCCCGCATTTACCGTGAATTTAGAGTATGCAGTTTTGAGAACTTAAGACATTGCAACTGGGGCTTATTTTGGCCTTCTATAGAGCAAAAACCCCACATGGGACTTTGGTTTCCCCTATATGAAGCACTCAACTGAATTGATCCATTCATCCCTGGATAAGTAGGGCTTCAGCTAATCAGTTTCACTTTCACCTCCCTGGGACATCTTAGTAAGGCTGCATGTCTCCTCAGTGGCCTTATTCTTGCCTAGGCTTTGCAAAATCTCTCCACTTGCTTCGAGTCCTATAATTAAACTCCACATTTTTCACTGACTTTTACATTTCTCTCATGCTATTTATGATGACAAAGTCATACTTCTAATCCATTCTACTTGTTTTTACCTTTTTGTAAATAATTCCCTTGCTAAAACCCGAACTCAGATTGGCTAATTTTCAGTTATAATTTTGAGAACTTGTAAGTATTTGGCTTCGGAACCTTCCATTCTTGTTGTTAAAAATATTTTGGTTTGTTGTAGTGTTCCGTATGTGTTTCTACTTCAACTCTCAAATTGTTGTGAGTATTAATCCGCATGGCATCATAAAATGATTTTTGAGATTTGTGTGAATAGTGAATTTTCTAGTTGTTATTTTACGATGTAAAATTGTGTCTTACTAAACTTTCTTGTCTTTGTTCTTGTTACCAATCTTCTTTCCACTTGTTGGAGTTAACAAAATGACTCTTCTACCAGTTAGGAGGTTACCAGTTGGAGATGGAATCTGAGTAGCTCGTCATAAACATCTTGAGAGTGAATATGTACTTGATTTTATTGTTGAGAGGAAGAAAGTGGATGATTTACGTTGTTCAATCAGAGACAACTGTTACCGGGATCAGAAACTGAGACTTTTGGTATTGGCTCTTAACGAAATGACTCAAGGTTTTGTCTTTTTTTGTTTTGTGAAGTTGCTTTTATATGTTGCATGCATGTTATTTTACAGATGTTGCAGCATAACTAAGTGTTTTTTTACATACTCAGTACCGCACAACTTGTGTTTCTGGCTTTAGCTTCAACTTTTAATATGAATCTGCTTTTACTGCATCTTAGTTAGAAAATGTTAAATAACCAACTTTAGTTAGAGAATGAATAGGAGAATATCAAAATAGAAGGCTGAAAACAAAATTTATTTTTAGAAGACTGAATATATATACACCTATTGAGTATTTGTAACATTTTTCTGTGCTCATGTCAAGGATGACGAATTTGAAAGGTAGCAATATATCTCCCATACGTGTATACATGTACCTAGGCAAGTACCTTGTTGCCTGTTTGTTTTTGGCCAGATGCACTTCTGGTATTCCTGGTGACCATCTAAGCTCTTATTTTCCCAGTCTATGTAGACTGTGTTGTATGGTAGGTATTGAAGATAAACATTTGTTTTCTTATTGAAAGTAGATGAATAAAAAGTATGGGTGGAAAACATGTATGCATGTTGTGTGGAAAACAGTACTTGAATGACAATAGGTATCATCCTGACTTTATGTTTGTGCAAGGATACTATGATGCACCACATTCAAGGGTTGTGAATGACTACAACTGATTAGTTATGACTAAACAATGATTGGTTTGTCTTTGTTTCTTATTTATTTTGTTTTCTATTTATGCTTGGCTCTTTTGGCTCCAATATTTACTAGAGAAATTTGTGTACTTCTAGTGTGTTTTTACATGCATTTGATGGTTTAGCTTTCCTAGAATGTTGGATTTAGTCTAGGCTCTTTGTCATCATATATTGTTACTGTGAAATTATATTATTTTTACGTTATGCTGATGTGCTTGGTCTTTCCGTTGCATATATTAGAGGTGTGGACTTAAGAAACTGATATCTTGTGGAAGGTTATCCAAATTGTTCTGAAGCTGCAGAAAGCATTAAAACAGCGTAAGCATTCCTGTAATATTCTTAATGGCTCCATTTCTTCCTGCATGACTTTAGATATTCATTTAGTGTGAATCATCATGTTTAAACTAGGAAAGTAAACCTCTGGCTTTGGTTAAAAGGTCTATGGTATATACTTTTTTGATCTTGTTATGAAAAACTAAAGATTTACACAAGATATAATTGTTATTTGTTACTTTTCCTTTTAATTATAAGCTGCACTTAAGATCATATAATAATCCTTCTATAGATGTCTTAATGATTGCAAAAAGTAACTGTTAGTATTTGGGTTCAACAGTTATAATTCTCATCTTGCGCATCTGTTTCACAACTGAAATTTTGGAGGGATTTGATGTTCAGAGAACCATTGGCTTGGTTGATACATTGAAGAAGTATGTTTATCTTACTGAAGCAATAACTCAATACTACAAATCAGAGTATTCTGAGGAACAACGTAGCCATGCTGGGAGTTGTCCCTGTTTTGGTGAAGTTATCAAAAGGTGCGAAGACCCGGATAAAAGACAGTGATGTATTTGCCATTCAGCTCATGCAGGTATTTACTGTTTCTGAGAGAAAGGAATATCATCCCTTATTTGACAGATAATGGCGTCTTGGCTCTGATCCCTAGATATAACAAGCTATGTGTTCATCCATGTATAACAACATGGAAAACGTTAAATTCTATGGGTTCTTACATTTTTTCCCTTTAATAAAAATAATAAATAAATAAAGAACATAAAGAACAAGTTTTCTTCTCTCTCTCTCTCCTATAATAAAGAAAATAAAGAACAAGTTTTTTTGGTCTGAAAAAGAAAAAAAGAAAGCACAAGTTACCCATGATAATAGGCGCCAACCGAATCCTAATCCTCCTCTCCTACTAAGTTTCCTATTTGTACCAAAAGATCAAGGCAACCTAATTGCAATTGATTTGGATTCTAACTTCTCTTTGAACAAGGCTTTGGAGTGGGGCAGGCTATAATATAAACCCTAGAATTGTAGTTAGCCTTTGTATCCATTAGTTTCTTAAACGGTTTCTTGCTTCTTGTTAGCCATGTCTGCAATTCGAAGTTCATACAACGAGAATAACAGCGATTCCAGGGAAATATTGGGGTTCTGTTTGTTTGGTTGCGCAGTGGTTGCTTTTACTTTGTATGCCTGCTTGAGTATGGAAGAGCCAAAAGGCCCTGAATTCAGCATCAATGGTGCTTATCTTACCCGATTTGATTACACCGAAACCAACCATACTCTCTCCTACAAGCTCCCCCTCAACATTGATGTGTTAATTAATTTCAATTTTCAACTCGTGCTTAGCAAATATTATCAATTTTCAACTTGTGCTTAGCCAAGCCGTTTGTAGTTTACTCAACCATTACCCTCAAACTCTCATAGCACCATGGTAGGGATCCCGAGTCTCTCCATTTAGAGATTGTATATTTACCCGCATTTCATAAAATATGGATCATCCAAATAATTCAATGCGTGAGAACACACACCCACTTAATAAGTTTGCAATTTTCTTTAAAATTGACGTTAACGGTGGCTAACAATCCCTCCATCATCGTTGCTGTAGCACCTACTCCTTTTTCTTCCCTCTTTATAATTGGTCTTTCTTTCTTTCTTCTCTTCTTTATTTTTCTCTTTCGGCTTATTGGTAGTCTAACCCCACTTAAACGACCAAGCCCTCGCTATCAGAATAGCAATCAATTGAAATATGTTCCTAATCAATAAAAATCTTACATAATATTTCATTACATTTTTTTTTAAAAAACTCTTTTATCATAAGTATCGGGTACATGTGCTGCATCACATGCAGAGGGGGGGCCTTGTTAATTAATCTGTGAAATTTCGATTATATCAATTGCTTTGTCTATATTCGCCGTCCTCCTTCTCTCCTTCAAGTGCTGTCATGAGAATTATATATCATCTTTCTTCTTTATACAAAAGAAATACTTTGCAGTTCAAAAAGTTTCGTGAAGAATTTGGCCTAAGTAAAACATGGCATGATCTGCAAATTGTTTCCACTCCTTGTGCAAATTTAGTCATAAAGAGTGGAAACAATTTGGACGCGCTGACTTGTTTTATAATTATAGTGAAACATAGTTTAATTTTAAGATAATCGCATAATGATATATATATTTTTTCAAAGGCATGAAACTAAAAAAGTCAAACAATACAATTGATGGAGAAAATGAAGAAATCAAATAAATTAATTGAAGGAAGAAACAAAGTCAAAAATATATATATAAATGAAGATTAATCGAGGCTAATCAGAATTCGATGCCTCTTTAAGAGTATAATAAAATATGGTACTTTTGAAATGTTTATTATTACGTAATTTATTAATGCAATCTCCCAACCGTTTGACAACAAAACCTCAGATTCTCTACATTGACCATATTATACTTCTCAAAGTCTTAATAGGAAAATGATCATGTTTACAATATTCATTAATATGTATATTTTCTTTCTATTTGGGCAAAATTCTGTTCATATTATGATAGAAAAATTTACTTACAACAGGATTACACTATTTTACTATTCTGGTTAAATTGTGTTATTAAGTTATCAATAAAAATAACAAAAAGTGTTATCGCCGTTGCATGAAAGTTTCTCTGTGAAACAGATACCGTCAAATTAGTAGTACATGTGTGTGTCATAAACGAGACACGTGAAACAATTTTGTTTGTTATCTTCTTGTTTCGTCAAGATACCATTGACCCATGAAAAATGTAAAACAGTAAACCAATTAGAAAAGTCCATTGAGTTGTTAATCTACATTTCCGTAACATAATTGGTAGATTAAGATCGTCACTGACTTCCCTGCATATTTTATCTTCTTCTCCTTCAGTCACGTACTAAACTGAAAACGAAACCAACAACTCTCTCCACCATCCACCGGATTCGAAGAATCCAAAGTCCAAACCAAAAGAGAAATAATTGAACTGCGGAGTGGTTTACTGCTCGCCTTTTTCCCTCGCCCAATTCAAGTCCGCCAGATGGCCTTCCCTGTTCCACTGAAATCTCCAAATCCCTAAACCTAGCTCTCTGTAAATCCGTGACACACAGAGCAACCAAAATCCCCAAAAGCCATGCCCGTGACCTGTCTCGTGAATTCAATTCCTATTGCCTAAAATTAAACCAGAATCAAACAAACCAAATCCAACTCCAAAACCCACTAACTTCCAAATTCTAAAATTGACCCATTGAATGCGCACCCAAATTCATAACGCACCCATGACGCCATGACCACCCATCATCTTCGAAAACCCATAAAACCCATCAAGCTACCATGTTGTTCTTCATCCCCCAAACCCAAATTCCTCTTTCTCATTTCCATGGCCTCCTTCCTCTTCCTCGCCCTCCTCTCCCTCACTATCTTCCTCTCTCTCACCTCCGCCGCCCGCAATCGCCACCCGCCTCGCAGCCACGTCATCTCCCCCAACCCTCAGATCCAGCAAGCCTGCAAAGCCACGCGCTTTCCCGACGCATGTCAGGCCTCCTTAGCCGGGCTTGTCACTGACCCGAACACCACCCCAGTCCAGATCATCCAGTCCGCCATCCAGGTGTCCACCGATGGCCTGCAGACAGCGCAGAAGATGGTCAAGTCTATCCTAGACTCGTCCGCAGGCAACGAAAACCGCACCACCGCCGCTAAAAACTGCCTCGACGTCCTCGGCAACTCCGAGTACCGCATTTCGCTCTCCACCGACAGCCTGTCACGTGGAAGCATTAGAAACGCACGTGCCTCGATGAGCGCCGCGCTGCTCTACCAATACGACTGCTGGTCGGCCCTTAAGTATGCCAACGACACACAGATGGTCAACCAAACGATGTCGTTTCTCGACTCCCTGACCGGAAAATCCAGCAACGCCCTCAGCATGATGTTCTCGTACGACAACTTCGGGAAGGACACCAAGTCGTGGGCCCCGCCCAAGACCGAGCGCGACGGGTACTGGGAGCGGGTCGAGGGCGGAGGGTCCGGCCAGGAGGTTCGGGTCGGAGTGCCGCCGGGTTTAAACGCGGACGTGACGGTTTGCAAGGAGGAGAGCGAGAAATGCTACAGGACGGTGCAGGAGGCGGTAAACGCCGCACCGGCTAACGCGGGAGCGAAGAAGTTCGTGATTCGTATAAAGGCTGGGGTGTACGACGAGATCGTGAGGGTGCCCTTAGAGAAGCGGAACGTGGTGTTTTTGGGTGACGGGATGGGCAAAACGGTAATTACTGGGTCGTTGAATGTGGGCCAGCCCGGAATTTCCACGTACAACACTGCCACAGTCGGTAGGTCATTGCATACTTTTTTATTTATTTATTTATTTACAGAAGTTTTTAATTTGCCATTCCAACTTGGTAGTTAAAAAAAATGCAGTAGATAGCGATCACACTATTTGTGGTGCGGTGGTGTGGACCCGCACCCACGTAATTGTGGAGGATGGGTGCGTGCAGTACATGCTGGAACACACTCTTATGTTGCGGTCCATCTAAGCAATTGTAATTTGTAAACGTAAAGAATGGTGGGAAACACTTTCATGTGTTTCTGAAGTAAAATGAACTCATTCTTTAAGACATGGAAGTATTTAGTCGGAATGGGAGGAGAGAGAGTTTCTTCAATTAATCTTGTTAGGTATGGGTGCTTAGGATAATGGCTGGCTAGTACTAAGCTAGGGGATTTGAGAGGCATTATGGCATTAAGATTTTCGGGTTTATTCAAAGGCTTAGCTTAAGATTCCACTACTTGTCGTATTTGGTTTGGTATTGCTGTCTGCACATGACTCTCGAGACACCGAGAGAGTCATGATGATATTGCCGAGGAACATTTTTATCATAATATTTTTGTGTCTTATTTTGAGCAATTAGCAATAATTTTGTCCTAAGACAAAACAGAGAAATGTGTTTCCTTTAGTTTGGCACTTGCTATTATTTTGATTCTCATGTTTTCTTTCTAGTTTGCATTTTTCCACAACTTCACCCACGTTTTGTAGGAAATAAATGTGACATGAAAGCAACAATTTTTCCTTGAGCTTTTTCCTTTTATGCTTGATAGTTTCCTGAGCAAGTAAGGATGCTAATTGTTAACACTTATTATGCAGGAGTTCTTGGTGATGGGTTCATGGCTAGTGGCCTCACAATCCAGAACACAGCAGGCCCTGATGTCCACCAAGCAGTAGCCTTCAGATCAGACAGTGATCTCTCTGTAATTGAGAACTGTGAATTCTTAGGCAACCAGGACACTCTCTACGCACACAGCAACCGCCAGTTCTACAAGTCATGCAACATCCAAGGCAACGTCGATTTCATCTTCGGAAACTCAGCTGCGGTTTTCCAAGACTGCAACATCCTCGTCCGCCCTCGACAACAGAAACCTGAGAAAGGCGAAAACAACGCAGTCACCGCCCACGGCAGAACAGACCCCGCACAGTTGACAGGTTTCGTATTTCAGAACTGCTTGATCAACGGAACGGAAGAGTACATGAAGTTGTTTCGCAGCAAGCCCCAAGTGCACAAGAACTACTTGGGGAGGCCCTGGAAGGAGTATTCGAGGACAGTTTATATAAACTGTAACATGGAAGCTCTTATTACCCCAGAGGGATGGATGCCTTGGAGTGGGGATTTTGCTTTGAAAACCCTTTTCTATGGGGAAGTTGGTAATTCTGGAGCTGGCTCTGATTTGTCCAAGAGAGTGTCATTTAGCAGCAAGATCCCATCCGAACATGTTAATACATACTCTGTGCAGAATTTTATTCAGGGAAACGAGTGGATTTCAACATGAAAATTTTTATAGGGATTTTCAAATCCTTTATAACAATAAATATTAATTAGCAGTGAGTGTACAAGGAGCTCATATCAAATTATTAAATACTCTTTTTAGTGGAGCTGTGGAGGGAAAGATGGTTGATTTTTTCTTTGTCAGTTCTTGTAACATTTACCCTATAATGTGCCCTCTTTATTATAATTTACATTTCTGGTTGGCGTGAGATTTGAATGAGTCATGAGCAAAGGCCATCAACCATCACTGATTTATTTTTTTTCGTATTCAAAGTTTTCTCGGACATTGGACGAACAAGTTTCAACCTCAACAAGGTGAAGTCGCATTCGTTGAACAAGATGAGAGATCCAAATTGGTTTGAGAGACAAGAAATGGAAAAAGTCTGCAGTCTTGTCTGGGTTGATTGGGAATGAAAGTTGAATAAGAACGTGTATTTTCGACCACAATCTTCGTTGAATAACACAGGGAGAATTGAGATTCAATATTCCAACCACACGGTTATGTATGAAAACAAACATTGAGGGCTCGTTTGATACACCGTATTAGACTCTGGATAGGAATAAATAGTCAATGTCGTCAACTTGTATTATTTAATGACCTAAACTATTTTAAACGGTTTGGGCTTTTAATACTCTTATTAACTGACTAACTAATACAACTTATATACTCCGGTTTATATATATATATATATATATATATATATATATATATATATTTTAGTCAAACCCCGGTTTAAATAATACATGTTTAATTATAAAGTTAAGGAAAAAAAAACGTGTGAAACATCATACGCTTTCATCTTCTTCTCCCTATGATTCTCCTACGCAAGAGGCACCAGTCAACAGTTGGTATTGGGGTTGACTCTCGCTTAATCACCATCGACGACGTCCAAGTTCGTAAAATTGCAATTCAATGGGTTGGTGGGGTTTGCATACCCAATTGAAGGAAAAGTCCCCAGGATAAAGAGAACATCACAAAGTCAATTATGCAATCAACGGATATTTCTCCACCTATCGAGGGAGATTTTAACAAGTCCAAGTCGGGTCTGACATTCTCCCCTTTCAACAAGTCCTTTGTTTATTGATTTCATCAATTTTCTTCATCATTTTGATTTAAAGTTTTATACTTTCTTGATTTTTAAGTTTTATGTTTGTTTGTTTATATGCAAATTAATATATGACTTGTTTGTTGGGTTGGGTAGCTGTAGACATTTCAATTTGCATTTGAGTTTAGAGGAGGGTGGTAAAAGGATGATGTCAACACAAAAACCATCAGAAAATAAGTTTTATTTATTTATTTTAAATATATCAAAATGTGATATATTTTTTTCCCATCAATAAACATCCCAAGTTCTACAATTATGATAATGAGTTAATTGATGTAATCTTGTTTTATAGATTTTGGCAAAAACAAAAGAAAAAAAAACTTATAATACGTATAACTTAGTCAAACTATTTATCCGGAACAATACCAAATACCTTATAATATTATGGATATATAGTCAGTACTATCTGGAACAGATTATTATTATCCGACATATATGAGTTAGTACAATCCGATGTACCAAACGAGCCCTGAGGGTGTAAATTTATAAAATTGAAAATGACCTCATGGGTCTTTTGTAGTTAGCTTTTAAATATTTAAGTTTGTTATTGAAGTAAGGGCGGGCAACGAGACCGGAAAACCGGAACACTGAGCTACATCGAATGAAAATAACCAGAAGAAAAAAAATCACATTAACTAAAAAGTCAACAAATCAGCACCGAACTAGACCGATTCAGGTGTCAGTTTCACAACTTACAAAATCAGACCGGACTGGACCGGATGTGTATTATTTTTATTTTTTATAAATGATTTAAGTCCAATGCTAAATTTCTAATCCCATAACTAATATTTCTCCAAGCCCAACCTCAAAATACCTTTCTTTTCTAGGTCCAATAATCTCTCTTTGCATGAAATTGGATCATTTGTGAATTTTTATGCCCAAAAAATAAAATATTAGTTAGAAGTTGTAAAAATAAATAAAATAATATCTTGTCCAAAATCGAAAAAATTGGAAATCGTGCTGGAACGGGTTTAAATCGGACTGACCGGTTTCATAATTTTTTTTACTAAAATAGGATCGAACTGCACTGTTTAACTAGTAGCAGTTCCGGTGTGAGGTGGAAATTGGACCGGACCGAACCGCGCCCACCCCTACTTTGAAGTACTAAATTTTTCTATATTTAAGTTTTAATATTGCAGATGTTAGGTTAATTGACTAGGGAGTGAGTCTGTGCCTTGCACCCAAATTCTGGTCTAGATATTTATTCAAAAACCTATTTTAGCAGGACATATTATATAAAAACTCATATAGAGCCTATTTGGAAAGAAAAATCCAAACCTAATCACTTGTTATTTTCTAATTGGTTATTATAAAATTTTAACATATTAAGAACTAATTAGAAAATGACAAGTGGCTAGTTTTGGGTTTTTCACTCCAAATAGGCTATATAAGAGTTTTTGTATATTATGTCATGATAAAATGGGTTTATTAGTGAAATCCACATTTGAATTGATGTAATTTTGAATAGTTGAGTTAAACTTTATAGTTAATTTGAATGTGTTGAATGATAATTTAATATGAAACTTAATGTAAAAATGTATGATATATTTTTTTTGGTAAAAAAATTTGGGATTTGGGGCGGGTACGGAGGATAGTCCTCCGATGGGGACGGGTACAGGGATTCCCCAAAACCTATTAAACGGGGATGGGTTTGGGGACGGAGACGATGACGAGGATAGACAGAGGGGACGAGGATGGTATTGTCATACCTGGCCCCTACTCGGCTCGTTGCCATCCCGAATTAGAGTTATTTTATACTATTGTTTGAAAAAAAAATTATTTTATTTTTTATAATACTAGTTGAAATCAATTATCAGAATGGTTTGGTTATAGTTAGAAAAATTGATATTTTACCCTTTTAAATCAATAAAGATAATTTTCTTAAATAATAGCATAGAATAGATTATAAAAGAGTCCACTGCAAGACCATTAAGCACAAAATTTTGGTCGCAAAAAAAAAACCTCACAATATTTTGTTGGGCAAAGTGGTCAAATTGGTTGTATCAAAGTAATTTATGGGCCAATCGATGGGGATGATAATTGGGCTATTCACCTGATCCAGCAGCGTCTGCAGAGAATTGAGCTGAGCCCAAGTCACGTCGGGTGTCCGTGTGCCGCTCATCTCACAAACTTGAAGGACGGGAACAAGAGAGAAGGTATAATTGTTCAAAATTCAACTCCCAGAAGAAGGAAAAGAGAATGGTGAATCAACATTCTTCATCTTCTTCCTCGCTCGGAATTCCAGTCCTTTTATTTTTGTTATTGTTGTTGTTATCTCCCACAGTTCTCGCCAAGTCTCGTCGCCCAATCTCTGTAATGCCTCTGTTTCTGTCTCTCTGTTAATTTCTTTATCTGATACTAATGCTATGATTGTGAGATTTTTGTTTCTTTTTATTAATTCTGAATTTTGATGGGGTTTTTGGCAGGATTTTGAGACGAGGCAGAAGAAGAACCAATGTTATGCAGATATTGAGAGGTACCAACCTCCTTCTCTCTTTTAATTTCCCATTTACTAATTTTTTGCGCTTTTCCTAGTAGTAAGCATATTGTCAGCTTGCAAATCATAGATATGATAGTGCTCTGATTGCTCTTTCTTTTTTTCCTTACACTATGGGAATAGCGGATTGTGGGGTTGGCAATGTAAGTCTTCTTTGATAGCAAAAGAGAATTGTGCTTTGCGATGCCTTTCTTCAACTTGTTATGAGCTTGTCTACGAGAGTGATCCGGTAAGATGGACTATTTTATACGCTCCTTTGTTGGCTTGGTTCCGTTATACTTATTATTTTATGTGGCATGTGTTCTGGTTGTAGCTTGAAGAAGGAGAGAAAGATCTAGTTAGGGGCCAAGAGTTCAAGTACTGTATGCACAAGTAAGTTCCATGTCTTTAGGGATATTAATTTTTTTTGCTGTACGATTGAGTTGATGCAACATGATAATTAGAATTTTGAAGATAACATAAGGGCCATAGTAGTTTTTACATTTGAAGGGGTCAATGGTAAAAATTGCTGAGAACATCAAACCACCAAAATTTTATTTTTATTCCTTGGAAAAAGGGACTTTTCTTTTTCTTTTCATTAGGAAAAAAGGTTGAGAACTGCCAACTGCTGGTTCACTAAGAAGGTGAAAAATCAAGTCTCTTTTTCCTGAATGTAAGAATGTAGCCTTGGCTGCTCTTGTATCCTGTATATGAATATAGAAAACTTGAGATGATTGAGATACCTTAGCCAACAGTACAAAATTGATTTGGCTGATTGAAGTGTTTTACATTTTGCAGTTGAGTGTTGGGGCACTTTAGGGACTTAATTCTTTGTTGGGTTTTAATATTTGCTTGTGTTAACCCCCCTGTGGGCTAATTTGTCTAGTATAGACACTGAGGTTGTGTCGCGATGGGTTAAAGGTAGTAATAGTCAAGGGCAGTTGTTGGACCAGTCTAGGACCTCTTAAAAGACACAATTTCTGGTATTATACTGAAATATATCCTCAGAACTGTACTGACTAGCAAATAATTGGCATTCATAAAGATCCCCTACCTAACGGAGGTTGGCGAGCTGAGTATCGCACTATCATTTGACATCTGGGATAAATTCTTGAACCTTTCTCTTCCTTCTAAAATGTTATTACTATTTTCTCATTTTTAAATTCAGTGTTGGTGGTGCTCATCAAGGCCAGTCTCCCGTGGTTTGTGGCCAGGTTATACCAGCAGCCACCTTTCGTATTTACTAGCACCAAATTTTATTATGAATCGGTTCTTTAATGGGAATTGAGGGATACAATGGTGGAATGGATTTTTGAGTGGATTAGATAGATCCTTTCTTTTGACACAAAAAAAACAAAAAACAAAAAAGATAGATAGATCTCTTCTACTTTTTCCATGCAGATTGATTTTGTGCTATCCTTATTTCTTTTTTCTGTTTTTTTTCCTCTCATTCCTCAATGCTTCGTTATGCCCAATGTGATAAATTTCTTACTTAAAAATAAAAATAAAATAACTGATCTGGACGTTAGACATGTTACAAAGATTATTGTTATTTAGTGTGAGGATGTGAACCTTATTGTCACTTGGTAATAGTAGATAGTGATGTGGATCATGCCTATTTGGTCTACGCTCAATTCATATGATAAATTAGGTCTTTCTGGAAGTGGCTTTGAAAACTTGTTGAGGAATTCTTTGCTTTATGGCAGTGTTGTTAAAGTATAACAAATTTACCATAGGTTGGGGATTAGATGTGCTGTGTTGGTTGCCATCCTTGCTTCTGTACTTACTAAGATGCTGAAGTTATATTGGCAGAGTATTTTGTCCTACTATTCAGATAATGCTACCCTGCTGCCTTTTGTGGTATATAGAGCCTTGAAGGAAGTTGTGATTTTTCTTTAAGTGAAAGTGTATATATAAAAAGTCAAATCAGATGAATAATCCTGCTCCTATAAAACTAGGTTATTTGGTGATGGAGTCTTTTGGAGCTTCTTTTTAAAAAAATACATGTCCTTTGGAGCTAGAAGGTCCCTTGAATTATACAACAAGTCAATTGTTCTGGCTACTTAAATGCAGGATGCATTTTAGTTTATTATAGTTTCAAAAATTACATGCATGTGGGTGTGCTGGGTGATAATGGGATGAGCTGCATGTCCTAAGCATCCAAACTTAGCATAGGAATGTTTTTGCTACAGAGGTTTCAATCCTTACCAGCGCATTGCTTTGTCTCTGACCTTTTCTTTTAGTTTGTGCTTAGTTTGCTAGGCTGGTCGAGTAATTTTGTGTTGGTTTTTTGAGATTACTTGTATTGGTGTTGTAAAAGTTGTTGGTGTCTGCTGCAACCTTTTCTTTCTCACTTTTTGGTCATTTTTATCTTACAGTTTCTGATTCAAGCTAGAGACAGTTTACCTACATAAATAATCGGATCAAGGCATTGGCAAATTACTTGGGGTTGTTTTGTAACTCTTGATATATGTTTTCTTGCAGGTTATCTTTGGGAGAGAGCCTTGAGGGTATCAAGGGTTCATTTAATTATTAAATATCTGAGCTAAAAATGTTGCTTGTAAAGCAAGTTCGTATGAAGCCGTCCATTTCTCCAACTCTGGAAAAAGAAGAAAAAAACAGGATTGATAAAAGTCAAGAGTTCATTTTCCAATTCTCCTCTTGCATGTAGTGGAATGATTTGCAGGTTGAGCCACAAACCAGGTTCAGGCTGTCCAGAATGTCTGGCATTAGGGTTCATATTTTATCCTTCAATGATTGGGAGTTTACCAAGGCGACAACTAGCAACTATTTTCTTTAACGTCTGTAATAGTTACATTAATATGCTTGGACTTTAGTCAATCTGAATGAAACCGAGGTCAGCCTAGCATCCGAATTTCTCATGTGCTAGCATATTATCCTGATAGAGATGAAAGAGAATGTGTTGCTACTATTTCAATATTAACATGGAGGTTTAGAGTTTTACTTCAACTGTTGGTTTCTTCAACTCTATTTTAAAAGGTGTGCTGTGTTTCTTCCTATATTTTGTTTGTGGGTGAAAGAATTAGCAGAAGATTGAAATTGTATCAATCTTACATTTCATTACTTTAGTCTCGTTAACGCATAACGAGCCAACAGCTAAGTCATCAGGGTAAGTCATTAGGATTAAGATAGATCAAGAGGTCAATGTCATCCCATCCTTAATTAGTGCAGCCAAGCCCCCCAGCATCTTCTACCAATAATAGGGTTGGATAAAATCAAGCTGCATGAAAAAGTATATATAACAATAAACAGCGAAGAAGAAAAAATATATAATTAAAGTAAAACTTTCCCTTTCCTATTATGAGAATGTTACAGGGGCCGTCAGCGACTTTCCTTTTCCTACTTGGACAAGGTGTTATGGGTAGGCTATAAAATCACCCTAAAGTCTCTCAACCTTTGCAACTCAAATCTCTTAACCAAAGCCAAAGAAGAAACTCTCTCCCAAGTCCTCAACTCAAAGTCTTAGTTAATATTACAAAGACCAAAACAATGGCCTCCGTTGAGATGAAGAAGATAACACTGAAGAGCGACGACGGTGAGATCTTCGAGGTGGAGGAGGCTGTGGCCATGCAGTCACAGACCATCAGGCACATGGTGGAGGACGACTGCGCCGATGGCCCAATACCTCTGCCGAACGTGACCAGCAACATCTTAGCGAAGGTGATCGAGTACTGCAAGAAGAAACATGAAGAGGATGCCGATGGCGAGAAGAACAAAGAGGACATTAAGAACTGGGATGCTGCGTTCGTGAAGGTGGACCAGAGTACTTTGTTTGACTTAATCTTGGCTGCAAACTATCTCAATATTAAGAGCCTGCTGGATTTGACCTGCCAGACTGTGGCGGACATGATCAAGGGAAAGACACCTGAAGAGATCCGTGAGATCTTCAACATCAAGAATGACTTCACGCCTGAGGAAGAACAAGAGATTCGTAATGAGAACGGATGGGCATTCGAGTGAGAGAGTTAAAGATCCCCTAGATACCTGTTATTATTACATAATTTGACTTTTTGTCTATTATTTTTCTTCTAGTTATAATTCAATTGTTTTTTTTTAATAAATTTTTTGTTAGGTGATTGCTCAGATGTAACCAAGATTTCTGCAAAACCTTGTTTGTCAAATATTTCTAATGATAGAGTTATGTCTCTTTTCTTTCTTTGGTTTTGGAATTCTTTTCTTTCTTTGGTTCTGGAATTTGGATTCTTTTTGGTTCTGTCTAAGTTTAGTATGCAACTGAAGAAGACGTACGTAAAAGATTAATGCAGGAACAAAGTTAATGACGATCTTAATTAACCAATTATGTTACGTAAAAGATTCATGAACAGAATTAACCAATTATGTTAAGAACTTAATGACTTTTCTAATTGGTTCTTCCCAAGTTTGCAAATTGGCCAAGTTACTCTATGGATTGCAATAGAGTTTAACTCAAAATAAGAAATTGAGATTTGTTTTGTTTTTAAAGCTGGAAATTTACCTCTCCATATTGAAATTTTTGGATGGCGAATGAATTCAATACACAAATAATAATTCAGGAGCTCAAGACAAACCAATCATTGTTTTAGTCATTCACAACACTTGAATTAATGTAGTGCATCAAGTACTGTTTTCCACTTGCAGACATAAAATCTAATGTCATCAACATGCTTACATGTTTTCACCACACAATTGTTTACATCGTGAAATGGACAGATGAGTACATGACAAATGTATTTAACTTCTCCATTTGATGGTCTCTATGCGTCAGTGAAATGGACAGATGGTTTTGAAGAACATTTTGACTAGATGGTGAAAAATGGACAAGAGGAGATTCGTAAGGAGAACCAGTGGACATTTGAGTGATCTATTAAAATTAATATGTTGGATATCATATAGTTAGAGACTCCCTATAATTCAACTGATTTTTGGGTTTTTATTTTTGTTTTCGCTTAGGTGATTGCTAGTGCCAGCCTCGAGGCTGGGCAAGGAGGGCTATGGGCACGGGCCTCGTATTTATAGGGCCCTAAATTATATATTTTATATATGTACCAAGTTGAAGAATATGATTTTAGAGGAGAATAATTTCAATAGTTTGGCATTTAGAGGCCCCAAATCTGATTACAAGTGTTTCTGAAGAGTCCAAATGAAAATTATGTAATATGTGAACATCAATTGCATGTATTCAAGTATTCAATTGCGAAAAGTAGCAATCAATGAAAGAAAGCCAATAGGGACTAGAAATTCTTTTATTTAACCAAAAATTCTTGTCAGTAGATTATTTAGCGAGGAAATCTGAAAGAGTGCAAATTATTTAGGGAGTTTCACTAAAACACCCAAAATGGGGGTTAAAATTATAAAAAAAACCCAAGCACTATTTAAACATATAAACACACCCAAAATCCATCATTACACACACTCAAAACCCATTTATAAACACACCCAAAAAGTTGACTTTGGGGTTGATTTTGAGTGTGTTTCTATGTTTAAATAGTGCTTGGGTTTTTTTATAAATACATGTCTAGGATTGGGTTTATTTATAAATTTGTAAATTATTTATATCCTCATTCTTCTTTATTTTCAGATTGGGGAAGTGATTATATGGGCAATATTGGAACCGGGTTTATTTATTCAAATTGTATTTAATTGCATAGTTTATTATATTCAAGAGAATGGAAGAGAAATATGCCTCATTTTCATTTCTAGCCTAGGGCCACCCAAAAGTCAGGGCGGGCCCCTGATGATTATTTAGTTAGGTTTAACCAAGATTTCTGCAAGCCTCACTTTTGTCAAATATGAAAAGGGTTTGTTTGTTAAAATAACACAAATAAAAGTTTATATAACAAGAGTTATGTCTCCCTTTTTGTGTGTTAATTCGAAGCTTCTTTATTTTCAATAAATTCTCAACAAATTACATGAAATTAATCATATAATCCTTAAACTTCCCAAAAATGAACTCGCACAAAATAATTCCCATTCATATAAAATTTAATAATTTTTTGCAATAGTACATTGCCCAATTCGCATTTTGATCGTTGAATTCGAAAAATAGCTCAGCTCCAATTTCGTTAGCACCGTTGATTCTACCACTGAATGTCCCAGCTAAGGCTAAGTACCGAAGCACATTCTATTGTTGTTTTCCAAATACCAATTTTTTGTCTCACAATGTACACTGTTTACACCATAATCAACCGAGCATATCCAGTCTCAAAACAACTAGCACCAAGGCAGACACGCCTTCTCTCCTGCCAAAGGAAGACACTCTTTCGAGGTGCCAAGCACCTGCCGAAACTCCCGACTGCCAAAGCTCACAAACTGCTAAACCTAATTCTCATGACACGTGTCACCACTGCGGCGATTTGCACAAAGTCCCACATCGGAAATCTACACCAACCTCCCACTTTCACTTCCCTATAAAAAGGGAACAGTACCCTAGTAAGAGGGGTAACTACTTTTCTGCCTTTTACTATTCTCTGCAAAAGTTACCCTTCTTAGCTGACTTAAGCATCGGAGAGCCTTCGGCCGGCACCACACCGGTGCCCGGAGCTTGACGACTGCTTCCCTTATTTTTGTCTTCTGCAGGCTAGCCTTTATTAAGGCCCGGACCCTTTCCCTGCTGAAGACAAACTCCTTTTTCTCTAAGTTGCCCCTCTTCGAAAAAGAGCATCAACAGTTTGGCGCCGTCTGTGGGAAATGATACTTGAATCCCATTTTTCTCTACCAGCCCAGCTGGCTCCTTCTCTTATCCGGCCCCATCGCCTCTTCTTCACTCCACACTCAGCTATGCCTACTGAGGATAGCCAGGGGACTCAGCACCATATCCCCCATGGGGGTACCTCCCAGAGGAGACCTTCAGCAGATGCCAATCTCTAGGCAGAACTGGAGAGCCTCCGCGCCAGTGTCACCAGGATGTCTGAGAAATATGACCATCTTCATGCTAAGAACGTCGAGCTCGAGCATGACTACCGCACGCTGAAGCGTAACTAGGAGATGAATCAGACCCAAGGCTCCCAACGCAGCCCTACCCAAGAACCTGAGCGTACACAGCCAAACCAGCCGGAGCACTCCCACCACAATGTCCCAACCCAGCCTAGGTCCAGCAAGGGTAAAGGCCCCCTCTATCCGGAAACGACCAAGTTGCGGCTTCTCCGCATCTCCTCGCCAAGGAACCGACCCCATGAACCAACAAAGGTCTATAGGGATTGCAGGGACCATATCCTAGACCGTCAAACGGAACCCCCTCTTATCTCTGTTAATCTCCAAGACCCAAAGATGAAACACCTAGCCCCCCCGCCAAGGCCTACCCAACTACCCCTTGGAGAAGGTATCGGGGACTTGGAGAATTGGGGACAGGATTACTTAGAAGACTACGAGTCTTATCACACTGAGGCATCCGAAGAATTCTACCCAGCCCATGGCCACCCACACACCAGACCTCCAGCACCCGAGATTCTCCCTCATACTGACCCGGCAATGAGGCTTCTCTTCGAGAAAGTCCGGCGCCTGGAGAACGAACATCAGCGCAACCACCAACCCCTCTGGGCAAAGCCACGACCTGGGCCCTTTACCGAACGCATCCTTAATTACCACCAGGAGAAGGACATCCAGCCACTCCGCATCGCCTTCTACACTGGCACAGAGGATCCTTTCACCCACATACATTCTTTCCAGTCTGCCCTGGGGTGCAAGGGCCTCACTGACGAAGGCATGTGCCTCATCTTCCCTTCCACTCTCAGTGGCGCGGCCCTGAACTGGTTTTACAGGCTGAACCCCCGCACCATCAACACATTTGACAGTTTGAAACAGGCCTTCCTGGACCATTTCATGATCCAGACCGATCGCCTCTACTCCGCGGACGACTTATACATGCTTAGACAGGGTGAGGACGAGCCCCTTCGGGAGTATGCAGCCAGGTTCAGCCACGAATACTCCCGCTGCCCAAATACTGATGATCGTGCCGCCTTCGGTGCTTTCAAGAGTGGCCTCCGAGAGTCCAACTTTCGGTACCTAGTCCACAGCAACCCTTGGAACACATATGCCGAGCTGATGAAGCAGACAACAGTTTATGCCAAGGCTGAGTACTTCAACTCCAAGCGCAGCCCAGCCACCTCGGCGCATAATCCTTTTGCTAATCCTCCACCTGCTTCGGTACCCATCCCAGCTCCACCTCAACATTCTGCCCCTACACCAAGCACCCAGGGTGCCCAGCACCCCAAGAGGAAGGATAGCTACCAGCATACCTTCAACAATAACAAGCGGCAGACATGGGAACCACCACCAGTCTAGTGGAAGCAACCCCCCCAGGACAAATGACCGGGCCCCACTCCCATTCTCACCCAAACCCAGGTTCGAGGTCTTCACCACCCTCAACACTACCTATGAGAATGTCCTAGTGCACGAGGCACCTATCATACCTCAGCCTCCACCCCGGAAACCAGGCAGCAAGCCTATGCCTAACACAGGAGTCTTCTGTCGCTTTCATCAGTTCGGTGGCCATGATACCGAATCTTGTGTTGCCTTGCGCAACATCATTGAGGGACTTATTCCCGAGGGGAAGCTGGATAAATACGTGCACAACCTCCCACCCCCACCTAACCCTCACCAACGGCAGAACAACATGATCTCAACCATCAGTGGTGGCCCAACCATGGCTGGAACTTCCAACAACTCCATCAAACATTATGTTCGCTCCACCTATGCGCACCAGGTCTTTAGCACTGAGTAGGGACGCTTGCCGAAGACATAAAAAACAGGCTGGGCCTCCATTACCTTCTGCGAGGAGGAGGAGCGCGGCGTTATCCTCCCTCATGATGACCCAATCATTATCCGCGCCGACATATCTAACTTTGACGTTAGGCGCATCTTGGTAGACACTGGCAGCTCAGTCAGTGTGATATTTGCTGATGCCTTCGGGTGATGTGGTCCAGCCTATCGGGAGCATTCATCTCCCTATCTCTATTGGAGTAGCACCCCAGCGAACGACGGTCACCACTCCCTTCCTCATTATTGATTGCCCCACAGCCTACAACGTTATCCTGGGACGCCCTGCCATGGCCCAGATGAAGATTTTCATTTCCACACATATGTTACTGTTGAAATTCCCTACGCCCCATGGCACGGTGCACGGCGATCAACTTGGCGCCCGAAGCTGCTATGCTTCGGCAGTAAAGTCTACCAATCGCCAACATAGGGGTGAGGCCCTAGCGGTAACCCAGACCCTAGCCCCACCTCGAGCTGGCACTGAGCGCCCAGAAGACCCCAGGGAGGAATCTGCCACCCAACAGGCCGAACCTGTGAAGGACCTTGAACTGGTCACTCTCCATGAGGATATCCCGGATCGACAGGTCAGGATCGGCACCTCCCTCTCACAAGAGCTTCGCTCTGATCTTATTGTCTTCCTCCGCCTCAACTCTAAAGTCTTTGCTTGGTCTTACAACGATATGCCAGGCATATCACCTGACGTCATCTCCCATAGGCTAAGCATTAATCCTGTCGTCCGACCCGTTCGGCAGAAGCGTCGTGCTTATGACCCAGAGCGGTATGAGGCCATGAAGGCGGAGGTGGATAAGCTGAGCACCATTGGATTCATCAAGGAGGTGGATTATCCCACATGGCTAGCCAATGTGGTAATGGTACGTAAACCAAGGAAGGGTTGGCGCATGTGCGTAACTACACAAATCTCAACCGGGCCTGCCCAAAGGATGGTTTCCCCCTACCCCGCATTGACCAGCTAGTTGACGCCACAACTGGCCACGCCCTCCTCAGCTTCATGGATGCTTACTCAGGGTACAACCAGATTTTAGTCAGTAAAATCAATGTGAATTTTGATTAATTATGTGACATATTTTATTAATTCTTTGACCCACGAACAAAGACATCATACCTTTAAAATTAAAAGCGAAACTCAAAACCTCCATCTTAAATATATCAGGATAATATACAAAGGTTTGCTTTCTCTTAGTGAGATATAAGGTTATTCTTGGAGTTTTTCTTTTCCTTCTAATTTTTGTCTTTCTTTCATAGAAAATCTGGCTGGACACTTATTTGGTAATATGTTGCAGGTATTTTTCTCTAACAACAAATGACTTGGAGAGATAGTCTAGAGTCCTGAATCTTTGCATCATGAGGAGGATATGGTTCAGCGGACAGAAAGTTAAGGCCATGGGCTAAAGTTTTATAGGCTGTTCTGTTTGGAAATCATAGCTAGGTTGGTGCATATCTCTGTGTTTAGACATGGGTTTATCAAATTGTTATTGGTTCTTGAATGCTTATGTGATCTTGATTTATCATTGACTGAAATAACTCCAAGAGATTGTCTACATTGATTCCCATTTGTTTCTTCAATGCGAAATTTAACTGCTATATTGTCATACTCGTTCAAATCAGAAAGTTACTTCTTTTGTAACAATGGAGAAATAATCCTTTGACTGTATGGTAAACTGATATGTGATCATTGCCCTTTCCCTTTTTTTATTCTTCACATTTTCTGGATGTCAGGAAGACGACTGCATAATCAAGCAAGTAGACCCGGTGCTAAAAGATTGTCTGTTCTTGCAAAGTTCTTACCAGGGTGAGTTATACTGTGAAAACTCACTTCCAGATCTTGTCAGAACCACTGAAATGAATGAGAATATGCAAATTAGTAATTTATAGGCATGCTGTTTGTATTTCATTTATATTGATATATACCTCAGCATGTAGAGAGTACCTTACAATTACCTTTTGGCCAGAGGAAAGCCAATACTCAGTTGAGTGATTGTGGCAAATCCAATCAAGCACGGAGAAACTCAATGGCGAATCAAGTCAAGCAAGGAGGAGCTGAATGGCAGTTAATGGTGAACAGCTAGGTGGAGCTTAATGAAATTCTGTATTTTTTCCCTTTTCCAAGTAAATTTTTGGTTTTTAATATCATAACTGTAATATCCTCGTTAAAAAGGTTGACCACTTGCAATACTTGGTCTATTTTCAGTATGAAAATATTAATGGAATTATTGTGTATGGTGCATTCTCATTATTTTCAGAAGTGTTGAATATAAGTATTTCCATTAGGAATGTAATTCATTTATTTGAAAAACAATGAATATTTGAAAATGAAAAAAAAACCAATCACTACTACGTTCGCAAAACGCACAGGGGTGACGAAAAAAAATATTCGTTGCGCATACCAAGCGCGATAGAAAATTTCGTCGTCATGCAAAGTGAGTTAAAAAAATCCGGGAAATTTTTTTTGGGGCAAAGCACTTGCGCGACGAGGAATATTGTCGCTTAAGACCACCTCGCGCGACGGTTAGAAAATTCGTCGCGCAAAAATGGACAGAAAACAGTGGGTTCCTTTATTTGGCGGTAAAAACTTGTGCGACGTCACTATTCGTCGCAAAACACATCTTAGTGCGACGAGAAGATATTTCGTCGTGTAAGAAAACGAGGGAATTTTTTTTTTTGGCGCCAAAAATACTTGCATGGGATATTTTTGTTTGCGCGATGTAAATATTATTCGTCGCGTAAAGTTTCATGTTTGCAGGACAAATGGTGGTTTTTACGCGACGGAATGGTGTTTTTGCACGACGAAAGTTTGTGCGACGAAATATACTGTGCGTCGCGCAAAAGTTCGATGTCGGCACATGATTGCACGACGAAAAATTTGGTTTGTGCGACGGAAAATTTGGTTTTTCGCGACAGCAGTTTGCGCGACAAAACCATTGGTTCGTCATGCAAAGTCCTTCTTCTTCATATTAGAATTCTGCCTCTGCCTCTCTCTCAATCTCTCTGCCGCTGCTGGGAATTCAATACGTTCATTGGGTAAGTATTTTTCGTCATTAGTTTAAAAGTATTAATTTAAATTCGTACTAACACTATTAATTTTGTTCTCGTTAGGGATATTTGTAATTAGCGATTGGTGGTGAACGATTGAGATGGTATTTTATTCGTTTTATATATTTTATTCGTTTTATATATTAATAATGTTAAAGTTAGTTTGTTATGTTTAAAATTTTTTTGTGAAGTTATATTTATATTATGTTGTTAAATTGTGCGTGACGTATCACAATATGTTGTGATGTTTTATTTTTATGTTTAGTAACACTTAGTTTCCCATTCGAGATTAGTTGGATTTCGTGCATGGATGCGTAATTTATTCTTGCGCGACAAAGACTTTGTCGCGCGAAAAGGATATGCGCGACAACCACTCATTCATCGCGCAATATCTTTCGTCGCGCAAACGTTAGGAACACATAATGCGGGACGAAGAATCCTTCGTGGCACAAAATCTGCGGCACGAATTGAGCGACAAATATTATTTGTCGCGCAATGTTTTCACGACGAACATTGTTACGTCGCGCAAAGGTGTTTGCGACAAACAGCGCAAAGGTGTGTGCGACAAACAGTTTAGGCATCCCTAAACCTTTCGTGCAACGAAGGGTAAACCGTTGCACAGTTTTGCGCGACGAATGCAAAATATTAGTCGTGCAAAGTCTTTCTTTACGCTCTTTGAACGACGAACTGTGCTCGACGAATTTTTTGTCGCTCAAACATTTGTGCGACTTAATGTATGTTTGAGCGACGAAACTCTCTTCGTCGCGCAAAGCATAAAATGTAGTAGTGAATGAATGTTTAAAAGGCATGGAAACTAAAAATAATATAAAAACACACCAAATAAATTTAAATATATCATAACTAAATGCTTCTTGATTCAATCTTGAATTTGAAAATAGAGTAAATTATAAATACCTACTTGGGCCCGATTGCAATATTCCTGCATATGCTGATATCAAGCTTGGTGGATATGATACTCTCTAAATTTGCTAGGTCGTGGTTTTAAATTGGATCTCACACCATGCTTCAGTGCTTAATTTGTTGTAGAGAGAGGCAGGATCCACCCTCTTCCCTAAATGCAACAGCCCCATGTTTTCAAACTCCCACTTTTTTATGCACTTTCCAAATAACCGGGCCATGATGTATGTTTTTGGTGCACCTTTTAATTGCTGCGTTTCATATGAAGGGCTATACTTTTTGGTGTATGTATTCAATAATTGGGCATAAAGACCAAATACCTTAGTTATCCGTTTTATTATAGTTAATTTATTGTAATTATTGTATTAGAAGTTGCACCTTGTATGTAGTTAACTTTTTTGGAGGCATGCGTACGCTTGTAATAAAACCAAACTTATAACTCCTAATTGAAGACAAATTATATTCAGTTAATTGTTTTTATCACGTGATTTCATAAATTCCCCTCATTAATGTGTAATTATTGTATCCACATGGTTTTTTTCATTTACAATGGTATACACATGCTTTAACTAATTAGAATTGGGTTTGCAAAATTGCAAGAAGATTTAAATTGATTTTTGTATTATGACCTGTGCGAGCAAATAATTGGTTTCCTTAGTCTCCTAACAAGTTCAACTATAGAAAGAGACAGTTAGCAAATGGCAAGTGAAACAAACACATCCATCATTCAATCTACCAGTTTCTTAAGAAAAAAATTTCAAACCATAAAAGAACATAAACAAATTATCTAGGATGTAACCCCAAACAACAAAATAATTGAGAAAGAAAAACCCTAGCCGCTAAGAGAGGGAGAAAGAAAAAGAGAGAGAAAACTTCATATTCAAGGGTTTTTTTTTCTCGGATCCTGTTGGATCTTTGGTGTCTCTGGCTTTAGGTAGACCTATATCGATCTACTCTTCTTTTGGAAGATCTATTGTTTCAAATCTTAGTTGGCTTCGGTTGTGCCTATTCTTTTTATACTATAATGTTCAACATCAACTTTTTTTTTTTTTTTTTTTTTTTTTTTTTTTTTTTTATTATATTATTATAAATAAATTAAAATTTTTTATTTTTTTTTTTATTTATTTTTTTTTGAAATTTTTTTTCCATGTTTTTTTTTTATGTTGGTGTTATGTGTGTGTTTTGAAGAAAGAGAAAGCAAACTAAATTTGTGATGTAAATAGTGTCTTTGAAAATTGATGGCATTTGCAACAATTTAGAGCCACTTAATTATATTATTTTCTCGAGAATTATATCAATACTAGAATCAGTTTTGTTTTATTAGAAATGATGGACCAAAAGATTAGTCAAACAACATGGGGTAGATCAGTTTCATATTATATTTTATTCTGCAAAAGAATGTATTTATAATACAAAGCTGTAAATCCTAATAGGGTTATACAAGAAAACAAGATAAAATCTTAATTACACAATATCTGTACAAAAGGGAAAAAAAATAAAACCCTAATTACCCAAGATCTCTCAACAATCTCACTCTAACCCAAGCGTAGCAAATAGCTCTGCTTGCTTTCCATCAACGTACTAAAACTGAATAATGTTGACTACTATCGTATCCAAGACCATCATGGAATCAATAGTACAAGTAGTTAAGTGGTTACAAGAATAGATACTTCAATGTAAATTTACAGAAATATGTGAACAACGGAAACAGGAATGCAAGACCATGCTTTTTTTTTTTTTTTTTTTTTTTTTTTTTTTTTTTTTTTTTTTTGCGTGTGAATCTATGTGATCATCATCTACCCTAATCCTAACCCTAACCTTTTTCCATATTCCCTTACTACTTGGGCTAGCCCCAAACCTTATGAACCAGTTCAACGTCTACCATGTAAACTATTGCAATGAACAAGAGTTCAAGCAAACTGAGCTTTTTTTATTTTTTATGTTCTCTATGAGCTCCTACTCATTACATCTAACTAATGTTAAAAAAACATAGACATTCTTGTCTAAAGTTGGCTGGGAGGCAACTGAATTAGATTTAGCAGAGACTAAAATAGAGAGCCTAGAGTTTTAACTTTTTAATATATGGGTGCCATTCTCTTTCAGTTACATCAGAATTTAATTCAGGAAAATGCAGTCCTTCAAGCAATGAACCGTGACGGCCACATAAAACGTTCCCACTCATCAGGAAACAGACAACACAATTACTTTAGTAGATTATGAGACATTCAGAAATCATTCCTCAGGTTATTCGATGCATTTTGAGTAACATGTCAATTGAATGGTGTTTGTGCAAATAATCTCACGGGAGAATATTCGCTTCTAGATCCTTCAACCTTCGATCTTCCTTCTCTCTCTTCCTCGATTCCTGTAAAACAGATTGGAGTAAATAGACCACACCCGGGGGGTGTTGGCCAAAGGCCCTCCGATGCCTAAGTTAGTTCGAGTGTTTGTAGAAAAACAATAGCTAAGCAAAGGGTACGGAGTAGTGTTTATGTAGGGTGTGAACCGGGCGGCCGGAGCCGTGTGTGGTGGCCGGAGCCGTGTGGAGAAAATATGGAGAGTGGAGAGGGAGAAAGAGAGAGCTTCGGGTATTGTTCTCGGGTATAAGGAGTAGGTTTAGATGTACCTTGAATGATGAATGAAGTCATCTATTTATAGGAGCCTCGGGGCTAGGGTTTCGTAGAGAATATGCTGAGTTTATTCTCTACCCAAATTCGTAGGGATCGAGTCGGACTGAGATAATATCTGATTTAATGATATTATCTCTTTTTATGGAGATAATATCTGAATTAAATGATATTATCTCTTTTTATGAAGATAATATATGAGATAATGACATTATCTTCTCTTTAATAGGATAATATCTTAATTAATGATATTATCTTATTAAATAAAGATAATATCATGTTAATTAAGATATTTATCCCAATTAATTAATTGGCCAGATAAATTGGTTCAATTAATTAATTAAAAGAGATAATCTTCTTTTCCACGTGGCGCGCTGTGATTGGAGACGAAAATATTTGCTCCCACAAATGGTATGAAATTATTAGTCAAACAACCAGTGCATTTTCATATTTTTTTTCCACTAGTTTAAAGTGCCCTTTTCGTCCCTTTCAGCTTCAGGTACTTGCTTAGATATTTTTCTGTTCTTGCCTAAATCCCTGAACCTTTCCCCAACCCACCCAAGCCAAAACTTAAGGCTACGGCTACAAAGCCACTCCCTTTTCTTTATCTTTAGCGGGAAATCAACCCCTTCAATTGGCCGAGTTTGGCTTCTTGACCGATTAATGAATTATGAAAATGTCAAATAATTAAAATTTGTATATACAATATTCGCATTAACTTGGATTTTTTATTTTTTTGGATTGACTAGTGGATTCGAATTTAAAATCTTTGTGCAACATTGAGAAGAGTTATTTACACCAATACTTCCCGAGATTTTCGGTGTTTACACAAAATCCTCTAAGGTTTCAAAAATTACACAAAAACTCCTTGAGATTTTAGATTGTTTTCACAAAACCTTTTTTTATTGATTATTTATCCAAAAATTGATGATTTCACATAAAAAGAACTTATGCAAATGGCAAAATTAACCTCAATAAGTGTATGTGCAAGCTAATCTCAAAGGCTAACTTTGTCATTTGGATAAAATTTTCATATAAAATTATCAATCTTTGGACAAAAAATCAACGGAAATGGGTTTTGTGAAAACAATTTAAAACCTTAGGGGTGTTCATATAATTTTTGAAACCTTAGGTTTGTGAAAACACTGAAAACCTCAGGGAGTGTTTGTGTGAATAACTCTATTGAGAATATAAAAGTATCACTATCAAGAGTTATTTAATTGTTATAATTGTTATTGCATGAAGGTTTCAGGATACGGTCATCATTTTGATCTCTTCCAATGACGGACCCATGAATTTTTATGGGTTTTTTTTTTTTTTTTGGATTTCATCATTATAACGGTGGTTATGGTTAACCATCATAACATCATCAAATAAGCCAAGCTTTAGGAAGCAAAAGTAACTTGATACAACCATAAATGAAAAGAACACAAAATAATCTCAAAGAAATTGAAAGTTCAAAAATTTAGTAAAGGCTTTCGTGCCCAAAATGCAGAAAGATTGCAGCATAAAAAGAATTATAGAGAAAAAACCAAAACCTCATGCTTATATTTGTATCTTTAATCTCCAATAAACAATTTAAAGGAAAACAATGAGTTGCAACACACAAAATGGAGCAGGATAGAGGAAATTATCATTTACCTTTATAATAAACAATCTATTTTATTATAAAGCTCATGGGGTTTTACTTTTGAAGGTGGTGAGACCAACATGACCACATGTCAACAACATTTAATATATAAAAAAAGTATTTATCTTTATTATAAAAATGCATCGCACGGTCTTCAAAGTCACATCACATGGATTCCAATCAATCCAACGACTGAGATTTATACAAAGGTGAGCATATTTCTACATAGATGGGTAGGCTAAATATTTGATTTACCTAATTTGGGCTTGGACAACTTAGCCTAGGTTGTATATTCTAAAAATTCAGAACTAGGCTCGAGCGATCCGCCCGTGATTTCACCCCACTTGACCTAAAGTTAATAGGCAATAATTATGTTATTTAATATGAAACAAGTATTTCTTTTGAATTTACTCCAAAAATGATATTGGAGGAAGAAGATTCAAATACAGGACCTTCGGTGCATGGTAAGTGTTCCTAACCACTTAAGCTACAAGTCTTTTGGGACTTTAGTAGATTCGACTTCGAGCTCTCTTGTTAGTGTTTTTAGTTATATATATATTTTTTTTAAAGACGTTCAATATTTCTTAAAAAATTAATGTGTTACAAAAATTTCACTTCTCAATTCTTCAACTTTGATTTTATTTATTGACATGATGGATTATCTAGGGCATATAATGATACTTTAAAGCTTGATTTAGGGTGATTTTACCAAACGATTGACATTGCTTTTTGTACTAACTGCACTTTAAAAGTATTGTTTACCGAACATGGAGCTGTTTTACTTTACAACTAATTATTTTTAAAATACAGTAGAAGCAACTTTTTTTTAAAATGACAGCAATCCCAAACTGGGCCTAAATGCTTCTCTAAAAAGTACTTTTATGTGGAAATATGCTCACTTGAAAAAGTTTTCCTCCCAAGCACTATAGAAGCATTTTTAACATTTCCAAAAGTAATCTCAAACACACCACGATTTTTTTGTTATGCTGTAACGGAGTTTTGTGTGATGGTTCCGTTTTTGTAACGCATTTGTCTTGGGCTCATCAGTTGTAATGCGGCTTTGGGCCGTCTGCTACTTTGGACAAAGAAAAAGTTTAAACTATTCAAAATAAAAAGATTAAAATTTTCAGTTCCATTTGTCGATTGCTTCATCACCCCAACTAAAACCCCAAAATCTAACCCACCATCCCATTCACCAAAAGCAGTGTTGGGAATTTGTGATAATTTTGGATCTCAGCTGAAGTGTTTGGTTTAGTGTTTGAGTTGGAAATGGCAGCGAGACAAATGGAAGAGATACAGAGGGAGCTGGCGATGCTGAATTACTCGAGAGCCAATGCGCCTGCTCAGTCTCTCCTCTTCGCCGGCATGGAACGCTATGCTCTTCTCGAATGGCTGTTCTTCCGGTACACGACATGCCGTTTACTTCTACTTTGACTTTTCTGATTCTTCCTCCATGCCCCACTTTTGACTGCCCTGTTCTTGGTGTAATTGCAGGTTGTTGGGGACAAGTCGCCCTTATCTCAACAGAGTCTTCAAGGGGACGCCATGGATCGTGACGAGACTGCTCGCATCCAATGTGAGGCTTCTTTTGTAGAATGTTGAATTGGGTCGTGCTAAAGTTGTTCAGAATGTGATGAAAATTAACCTGGGTGTGTTTAGATCAATCAAATGATACATGGTGGAAAACATGATATTCTCACACTGACACTGCAAGATTTAATTTTTGAATTCCATGAAATGGTGGATCCAAATTATACTTTTCCTGTTCTAATATTATTTTAAATGAAAATGTGGGCTGCAATTTTTTAGCTCAACTAGTCTTGCAAACTCTTGATATTTTCCTGATGATAATTAAGATGACAAACTGTTGCGAAGACTTCCAGTAGTAAAGAATTTCTTCAGTTTATGATGACAAACTGATAATGCGGAACATTAAATTTTGACGAAGAAAACTTGCATATCCATATCCTAATGTAAAAAAGATAGAGGCATGATACAGCTATTATTGCACAATCCTAACTCAGTATTACTTCAAAGAAAGCAAGCGCAGTTATGATATTGCTTGTACTTGGAATAACTTAATATATTATGTTGGTACCATAAGCACCCAAATGTTATATCCTTGATGGACTTTTCGAGATACTTTTGTGGAGCATCCTTCCATTCTGCTACCTTTTTGTTTACCTTTTCTTCTTCTAAACCCAGCTGATATATCCGTTGACTGTTTAAATTTCCAAATTTCTAAATTTCTTAGTATGTTGGTTATGTATATGATGAACTTGCTATTTTGCACTGTTTTAGTCACTTGATGGGACAATCTGACCATGTTTCTCTTTATTGTTACTATGACAAATGATGACCTTCTGTTTTGCAGATTTGGCAGAGATTGCAAAGTTTTTGGGTATTACTACTATTATAGACGCAGAAGCTATCCAAGTTAGTTGTGGATTTATGTTGATTTAGGAGTATTTATGCTGGCTGATATGGGGTGAAAAATGGGTTTTTTTCTCTAGTTTAGCTATACAAATTAAGTGCATTTTTATTTATCACATTTGAATTTATTGTTTATTGGTTTTCAATTAACCTTTCGTATCTGTTGGGCAACTAATTTTTTAGGATATGATAGTATCATGAGTTGATCTAGTAAATTTTGGTAACTGGTACTCTTTTCTTAAAGGATGCCAAGCTATTTAAAATTGCTGTATTATCTGAATCCTTTTGGTTATATGATAAAGTTTAATCTTATCCACTTGTTGGAGCTTCCTTTACATCCAAAAATTCTAGATTAGTCCCCCAGATACGATCAGAGTAGTCAAATATGATTCTCCCTTGATGTACCTCCATGGAAATAGTCAATTTGAAACAAAGTTGTACTGGCAGATCATCAAAAACTTTTTATGCAATAGAAGGTAGACTAGACAGAATATAATCAAAGATGACGTAAAGATTTGTTTGCAAGATGCACATTATGCATCTAGTTGGCACTCTAGACAAGATTAACATATTTAGGAATAAAAATGTTTTATTGGACCACATGCATTCTTCTGCACTCGACGTGAAATCTAGCAACTCTTTATTCTGTGAGTTTCCAACACTCTTACTGAATGTGATACTTTTTGTTGCAGGGACGAGGAAGCTATGAAGATCTCGTCTAATTGTAGATCTTGTGGAGGTGAGCATTTATGCTGATAATCAAGAATGGAGGTTAAGGATGATACTAAGTATTGCATTTGTGTTGGCAATTTTTTATTTTTTTAATAAAGGAACTCCTAGCACTTCTATAATTTCAAATTTCATTCTATATTATGCACGTGATTTGTTTTCTTATTTCAAACACCCATGTTGGCCGGAGATCTGGTATGAACTGTGATTTTTGCAGTATCAATGAGCAGGGAGCAAGGGACATACAACTAATTGATTCCATTGCTGAGAGACAAGCTCAAATATTCTCCGAGGAGTGCAAATTTTTCCCTGCTGATATATAAATTCAGTCCATATATCCATTGTAAGAATATCTATTTCCCAGTTCAATTTCCGTTCCTCCCCTGTAGTAAAAGAACAATTGCTTCATTGAAAGTTTATTATTCCACTAAAAAGAGACCTCATAGATGCAGTGTAAGAGTATCTATTTTCGATTTGTGTTTCAACTCTGCTGAAGTAAAAAGAATAATTGCTTCATTGAAAGTTTATTGTCAAACCTTTTATCCTTTTGGAAAAAAAACCACCTCTGATAAAATCGAATCCCAATCAGTTTAGATAAAATGCTTAGACGGGTTGATTGCATAAGTTATGTTTGAACTACTAATTTCATTCGATACAATAACATTCTGTACGTTTAATCAAAGGTCACTTGCAGGCCTGATGTTTCTGAATTGGAAAAAAAACTTTCTGAACAATCAAAGATACTCTTAAGTCTTCAACAGAAGGTTGACGATTTGGCATCAAAGGTTTGTTTCTGTTCCTCAACTTAGATCTTCTTGCATTTGACAATAATTGCTTAGTTTTCTTATGATTTGTATCCTGGAACTGTTCTACTATTTGATCAGCTTCACGTAGTTCTCTTTGTGCTATATAATTATTCCAGCTATTCATATGATTATTCAAAAAGTAGAAAATAATACTTGGATCTCTTCCAACTTTGAAAAGAGAAATATCATTAGCATCTCCTTTAAATCATATTTGTACTTTTATTATTAAGGTTTCCAAGTTCCGTCATTTACAAATTCTATAAAAAAATTAAACTCCCTTGTCCAAACACACTGTAAAGAAATTTCAACGCCAAAATTAGTAAAATTTCCAAGAGATTTATCTGCATTTCTTATAGACTTGGAAAGTTTCAAATCATACAAAGAAATTGAATTAAAAAAAGTCTTAAGAAACACCCTTCATTGTCTCATTCAATTATCATAATAACATTGTGTTTATTGTGTATTAATAACATTTTGTTTGGTTTAGAGTTAGAGTTAGAAATGGCAGCGAGACAAATGGAAGAGATACAGAGGAAGCTGGTGATGCTGAATTGATCGAGAGCCAATGCGCCTGCTCAGTCTCTCCTCTTTGCCGGCATGGAACACTATGCTCTTCGAATGGCTGTTCTTCCGGTACACGACATGCCGTTTACTTCTTCTTTGACTTTTCTGATTCTCCCTCCATGCCCCATTTTTGACTGCCCTGGTTCTTGGTGTAATTGCAGCTTGTTGGGGGACAAGTCACCCTTTTCCCAACAGAGTCTTCAAGGGGACGCCATGGATTGTGACGAAGAGACCGCTTGCATCCAATGTAGGGCTTCTTTTCTAGAATTTTGAATTGGGTCGTGCTTAAGTTGTTCACAATGTGATGAAAATTAACCCGGGTGTGTTTAGATCATCAAATGTAGGCTATATACGTGGTGGAAAACATGAGATTCTCCCACTGCTGTGTTCTTTTTGTTTTGTTTTTCACACTGCAAGATTTGATTTTTGAATTCCATGAAATGGTGTGGATTTGGGTTGATGTGGTTGGGGTGTGGCTCAGAGATGAGGATCGAGGATAGTTGGGGCGATCGGGGAGGGTACGGAACGCTTAGGGAGACAACCAAGGAAGGCAGGAGGAAGAGACGTATATTAATAACCTCATAACCCCTATAATTCAAATGGTATTTGTACAAAATTCTGAAACATAATGCTTCTGTCTAAAAGATTCACTCAGACCAAAATGAAAAGGACGGGCAGAAAAAAAAAAAAAAAAAAAAACAAAAAAAAATCCAAAAATCACACAAAAAGTGCAAAAAAATTTGGACCATTTCTCGATTTATGCGTGTCATCCTTGCGCAGGGGCCATGCTAATCTTCTCTGTATCGTTCCAATTTTATCGGATGTCCCCGAAGGGACGAGCTTTGTTGTTAAACGATTATATATAAAGCTTTCATGCATAGAGAGGTTTTCCAATGTGGGATTCACGTGTGACGTATCCCATGTCTAACAAGCTCTAACGTCCTTTATTACTTGGGCCTTTCTTTGCTGATTTAATCCAAAAACTAAAAGCCCAGAAACAACCCCATTTGCCGTTAATAGAGCAGTTAAGCCACCAAAATAATTTTCGTTCCAAATATTCAATAAACAAGTTCCACAGGAATATATATATATATAACATTGCCAAGGCCATACATACTCCTTAGATCCCTTAGTCAGCGAAGGGTAATTGGATGTAAGTAATGGATAAGAGAGAAGAAAAAAGAAAGGCATCGACAAGCATATAGCAAACAGACGCAGAAGTCAATGAAAGGTAACAGAAAAGAAAGTCAGCTTCGTTGGCAGGATCACAGTAAGCACTCAAACGTAGTGCTAGTTGAAATATAATGATGGTAAAAGTATCACATATCTTGCCATTGAAATACATTACTTAGATAAGACTTATCTCTAGTGGATGTATATGCCTATTAATACCTTTAGAGGCTGTAGGGCTATCCAGAGACAAATACCATCGATTTGATGCAAAGCTTGTTACTTTGTTCAGAAGCCGTTGCTTGCTGGATTGTTGTACGGAAAAACAAGTTCCCATTCTTCTGATAGACAGCCTGTGATCAAGAAAGACCTGTATTTACATCTGTGTAAAGTAACAAAGCACTCCAACCAAACAAGCTGATGAGAAGGGCAATTGGGCTTCTACTTGTGAATAAAAGATAAAAAAAATAAAAAGACCTCGGAAGAAAACTAATACCCGGAACATTGAAACGATGAAATGAAAACAATTTGAGCTTGCTGGCTTTCTAGAATTTAGAGTTACAATTTGAAAGTGTAGGCAAAATGCCATTAATGAAAATTACTATTACTTTAATGACTATTACTATCTACTTAGAATTTGACATGAACAGAATCATTTTGAGATGTGTAAAACAAAATTTGTGGAACTAACAAACATTTACTCTCAAAGAAAAGAAATTCTTAGCATTGATGATAGGCAGGGCAAAGTGGTTAACAAAAGTGTATTCCATATCAAATTTTCAACAATTACATACACAACGCTAGAGATAAAACAAATGATCATCTTATTACTCCAATGCACACACAAACAACTAAAAACTGAAAAAGATTTCAAATAGATTTCAGTTTTTAGTTTTTGTTTTCACTTTTGTTAAGCCTCCCTCCTATCCTCCCCTCTCATCCTCTCTCTCAATCCCACACTCACTCCCATTCTCACTCTCATTTTCCTCTATACTCTAGCACACAAAATGAAAACTAAAAACTAATATTGAAATAATTCTCAAACATGCCCTAAAAGACTGGATGCTAAGGAAAACATGAATTTCTCAACTGAACCATGTTAAACCTAAACCATCTAGGCTTATGGGAAGAACCCAAACAACTAAACCATCTACCGGTGTTTGCCTTAAACGACGACGTAGGAAGGTCTGCCATCTTTTAGTCTCTTTCGGTTTTATTCAGTCTTCACCGTCACTGGTTAGTCCTCAAAAATAACTCGACGCTTCTATTTTATCACCCAGAAAAGAAAAAATATATTGTGGAAAATTTAGCTAATTCAATTGGTCGTGTTAATATCTTGAAAAAGCAAATTCATTTTTTCCTTTTCATTTCATAAAAAGAGTAATGTTACATTTACCACATTTTTATCCTATATTTCTATACTAAATGATATGGCATGTCCATGTCATATGCCACATCAATTAAATCAATTAAGTGTATTTTAATAAAGAAATTTTAATTAATAGTTTTTTTTAAAGTGTTAATAAATCATAAAAGAAAAGAGAATATTAAATAATTTTAATTGATATGGCTGTCCACCTCATTTGCCACATAAAGTGGTATGGAAATATGATATACAAATGTGATAAAAGTAGGATTATTCTTCTTTTAAAATAAAAACGAGATATGGGCTGCTTTCGGCTGGAAGAGATAAAGAAAATCTCTTCTTCTACAACCTTTACTAATTTATAATAACATACTATTTCTATTGCATGCTGTCATAAGCCTCCCCTATATTTTAAACATGATAGTTAATCTCTCTAATTTAAACATGATGCTCATACAAATTCCTTTCATCTTTTTGTTTTGTACATGCACAAAATTAATTTACCAACACAAAACACAAAGCAGAAAGAAAACAAATTGCATTACTCCAATGAACAACTATTTATTTTTTACTGGGTCTTGCAGCTCTGAACATTTAAGAGCATTTACGCTAATAGCTGAATCCCGAATTGGAATTTCCCATTCCCAAATAAAAATTGGGACCAGTTTATTATTTAATAAATAATTGAGCATAATCGAGTAAGAATTGCGTTGAAGTTGGCATGACTTCTAGCTAGACATTCAAGAAGAGTGGGAAAATGAGCTCTCTTTTATTTTCTATTTCTTACCTTTAAATGTGAAAATCATCAAACCCACAAAAGAAACAAGAATCAAGAAAAACAACCCAAAGGAAAAATATTGCATCTATCACTATTTTCTTTATGTCACTGTCAATCAATGACATACTTGTGACTTAGAAAAACTAGACAAGATTCCATTTGGTTTACGAAATGAATTTGAGGGGAAATTACTTCCCATGTCATTTATCAAGGAATGAGAAATTGAAGATTCTTTTCCCATGTTCTATGCTTGGAAAGTAACCGGGACATATCATTTTATTTACTTTTTAATGTTTGTTTTGAGTAGGAATGAAAAATAAATTTTGTATAATTTTTCAATTATACATATATTATATTAAATTAAATAGAATGCTTTTAATGATATATTGTAATTTTAAATTCTTAATTGGGACAAAATGGTCATGAAAAACATGCAATTAATGTTGGCCCATTTTTCCATAGTTTTCCATGGAAAGGGAAAACGAGGAGGATTACATTTTCCCTTTATTTCCTCATATTCTAGGCAACCATTTCCCATGCCTGAACTTACCAAACATGGGAAAACAATTGATTTTCCATCTCCTAGCCTCCTTCCCCATGAACCAAATGCAACTGAAGCAATATTGACGGTCACCAAACAATTTATTGACTAGACTTATTTATTTTCATTCATTTATTGAGCTACTTATTAAAATAAAAATAAAAAAACAAAAACCGAGATTGAAAACCATGTCAACTATTATCTCTCCAAACAAATAGAAAAGGATGGGACACAAAGAAGAAATTTACAGGGTGGTGTAGTGTGGGAGTGTAGGGCAACGGATGGTATAAAACAAAAACAAAAACAAATATTGAGGGAGAAGGAAAGAGCCAAACATGAGAAAATGGAGAGCTAATGAGAGAGAAATGGGAAGGGCCGTCGGGTAGCATGGAAATGAATGGGTAGGAAGTGAGGCCTTGGTGGTATGGTCACTCTCCTACAATGGAGTTTTATAACATTTTCTCCTTTTATTTCTGAACAACCAAAAAAATATCAAGAAGTTAAAGCACTCTAATAAAAAGAAATATTAAAAAATACAGAGTTTCGACCAAACTGCATAGTCTCTTTTTACAGAATAAAATGGTACAACTTGCATGAGGCTTGAATGGTGAGATAATGCTGTCGCTTTGTCTCAAAAGTGATTGTATGAGATTAAGCTCTACTTTCAACAGAAGTGCTCGACCGAGGACGAAATTTTGAGGGACTCTGAGAGCCAAACACATCTCACCCGTTGGATTAATCCAACGGTGTTTATATAGTAGCTTTAAAAGTCCAACAAAACCCATTTTGCTTCCCTCTTCCTTTTTATCTCCTGTTTCAGAACCATTTTAGTTAATCCAATGGATGACGTGTTTGGCACTCATAGTCCCTCAAAATTTGGTCCTCAGGTGAGCACTTCTGCTACTTTTCAAAGCTGGAATAGGATGCTTTTCAAATCTGGCATTGATTGTGGAAATATCAGAATAATTATGGGACAGGGTAGGGCAAGTGAAACGAAGTAGGGCAAATATTCATATATACTTATATTTGCTCATATTCTTCCCCAATATGAAAGTATTTATACAAGTATAAAGATGTGTTAACTCTAAATAAAATAGGAAATATATCTAAATTACAATATGAAATAAATCTCTATTACAATAAGACTAAATATAATTGGTAAGTAACTAAAATTCTAACTAAATGAGGAACCAATATCCTAACTAAGTAAGGACTCACCAACACTCTCCCTTAAGTTGGGGCAAAGATATTTCGCACACCCAACTTGACAAGCGAGTCACAGAACACCATACTTGAGAAGCACCAATTGTAGAGAAGGTCTTTTCGTCAATCATGAGTGAAACAGGTGACAAACTAAAGCAAAGTTCGTAGTGGAAATACAAGAGCAAACCCTAAAAAATAGGGCACATAGAAGAACA